CACTTTTACCACTGTCCCCTGCCTTTCACGTCTCGCCTAATGGCTGATTGGAGTTCAGCCCATGAGAGCTAACACTTAGCTGTTGTGATGAACAATTAATTCATTATGCAGAATGCATCTACCTTGTCACTGGAGCACATAGCTCACTTTGATGCTTTGTTGAACCTATAAACAACCTGCCCAGCACAACCTTGAGACTCTTTTACATCAAATACCAGGCAGCCTTTCATGCCTGTCACAACAACCAATCCCACTGCAATTCTATCTAATCTACTGCCTTCTCCTCTGTTTTCTCTCTGTTCTGCCTCAGGGCAAAATGGCTCTCATGGCAGCAAATAGCTGTTTCATCTCCTACAGTGACAGTGGGGACATCGTGGCCAAGAGCAAGACAGCAGGGGATGGCGAGATGGTGAAGGTGATGTGTAAATTGTGTTCTTCCACAAGGTTGCATTTTAATCCTTTCATTTTAAGCATGCGATCTCTGTGAGGACCTGGACTCTTGAGATGGAAGGGGAAAATGTTTGTGACCTCACTTCATGGGGGGTTCAAGGTAATGATATTTAATCCACAACTTCTCTCTCTTGTTTTGTTTTTTTTTCTCTCTCCTGAATGATGAACAGATCAGATCGAGTGCGGAACAAGAGGTCAAGCATAAAGATGACATTGCGGATGAAGACAGGGGCAACGTGAAGTCCTGTGAGATCAATTATGTGTACGTAACCTCCACTGTGCATCACTTTAGCATTTTTACAAAGCACAACAGCCCAATCAAAGACTAATGAGGGAAACCCATGTTGGAATATCTCAGCATATAATTTTCTTTATTCCCTGCTAGGTTCAGTTGAGCTTTTTGCATTTAATGAGCAAGTTAAGATTAGAAGTCCATCCATCCATTTTCTGCCACTTATCCAGAGTCGGGTCAAGGTGAATTTATTTCATCCAAGTACTTGCAAATTAGGGCACTAATGTATTGGTTAAATGCACAGATTGACCGGAGTGCACCAGTTCTGTAATAAGTATTATCTTTGCTAAACCTCCATATTGAGGTGGATGAAATATTAGAAACGGCTGTGGTTTCCAACCTGTGGGTCAGGGCTCCCACAAGCTGTCACAAGATGAATATGAGGTAAGATTTTAAAAAGGACAGGAAAGCCGAAAAAAAACCCAGAATATTTTTCCTACATAACATTAGGTAAATTTTTCAGACCTATCTCCACTTTCCACTCACCTTGAATAATTTCACTGCAAATTATTTAAATAAAACGAGGAAAAAAATATCTTTCTCACACCCCATTCTGCTTCTTAATAATTACAATTACGTTTGATACTTAAGACACATTTTGCGGATACGTATGCACTTTTACACAAGTATGCTTTCAATGTTTTGAGTATTTGTATTTTGTAAAATTTCTGCTTTCCCCCTAAGTAAATGATCTGAATACTTTTTCATCAACTGCTGATCACAACTCTGTATATCTTGTTTTCTGTAAATTGTTTACTCTGATGAAAAGGTTGACATTATTTCCTCCTAAAAATCCATCTAACTATTTGGATTTTGTTTTCTCATGTTGTTTGTGTTTTTAATTTAGATTTGCAATAGATTTTTCTGAGCTAAGAAGCAAAATAGTGTGTGTTCCTGCATAATACTGTTCTCATATGAACTGGAAATAATTTTGCTCGGCTTCTGTGTCACTTCAGACTTTGGAAGCAACTTTTTAAGTGCAAATTTTCATTAAGCTGTCGTTGCTGATTAGAACAAAGTCACGGTGCCAGTAATCGTATTTGTGTTTCACAACAGTTTGACATTTTACAGTCTAAGCAGTATACCTTGCAGAATCCTCAGAACCAAAGCCTAAAGAACTTCCCTCTGACTCTGTGATTTCCTTCCTATTGTCCTCACATTGTGTCAGTCTGCACCCTTACCCTACCATAATAACATCCCTGGATGTGAGATCACGCCTTTAAGGTACTACCTCATCAATCCCACGCCTTAAAGACACATTTTATGGTCTGATGTTAGAGCGGGATGAGAAAGCAGACACCACATTTTAGCTTCCGATGCTGCTGAGTGTTTTATATACGGCCCATCTAAGGCCTATTAAGTTCCAGGCAATATGTCTGCAGCAGTTTTTTGCTTGGCATGCTTTGGCTTGGTGTTTCCACTCTATTATTTGTTTTAGATGAATGCTGCGGAAATGGACTCGTCATGTTGACATGTTGATAATGGCTGCCCTTGAGCGCGTGTCTTGATGTAGTGTTTAGCATCTGAAATGTCTTTCAGGATGGATGCAGCTTGCGAATCATAAAACACAGAGAGCAAAGAAAAACTAAATATCAAAGAGGTTTCAGACAAGACGCCTCGGTGGTTTATGGCACTGTTGTGCAAGGTATTTAAGTTTTAAGATAGTTTACATTGAAATAACAGATCATTTTAAAGCTGTTCATTAATAAGGGGAAATATTAATGGAGGGGGGTGATTGTCCTCACATCACCTTCATTTGCTGATTCCACTGTTATCCCCAGAAAAACCTCCTGTCTTAGCTAATATTTAAATGATAGTAGTGCACATGTTGATTTGTGGCAGCTAGTAGGCTTAGCCACCCAGCCTATTGCTCTTTGGCTGCCACTGTCAACATTCGAACACTCTGCTTTAGTTAATACTTGAGCTCATTATCTGGATTTTTTTCTTCTAACATTTAGCTGCTTAGAAACCAGGTGTCAGTTCTCAAAAAAAAAAAAAAAAAAAGACATGCTGTGAAAATATCCGTAATTTTGTGTGTGTGGTTGTGGTGGTGAGTCGTTTACCTTTGCTCAATCTTTTGTATTTGTCTTATTAACGTTACCGTGTGAATTACAGGAAGAAGTTTCAGAGTTTTCAGGATCGGCGGCTCAGGGTTAATGAGGACGACCCCAACTCGTTAAAGAGAGCTAGAACGGATGGGAAGTTTCATGAAGCTTTGCTTGACAGGTATGAAAATAATTTATATATTATATTTTTACTGTCAAACACTTGATGTAGTTTTGTTACATAATCGCTCTCCCTGAAATGTTCTTTTCTCTCAAACTGCCAGTTGAATGTTTTCACTTTAAAAAGACACTTCAATTTGTGTTAAATTTAAATTAAAGCAAAGATAGGTATATTCACACAGAATATAATACAAAAACAGAAAAGATTAAAAGATTTAAGAGTAATTAATGCATGTTCAAAATCCAAATTGTAAACCCCACATAAAATGTGAAAGTAAACAGTTGCACTTTTCACCTCCTCTGGATGTGGATGTGTTTTGTCCTCCAGTTCACTGGATTCTCTCTGTGTGTTCATAGGGGAAAGAACCACACAATAGAGAGTTTATCTAAATACTTAAATACTTGTGAAGAGTTACTTTTGAAAAAGAGTCCAATGCGTGGAGTATATAAATTATAAATTGTAAATGATGTTTCTGCTATTGTAATATTTGACTTTTTTTTTTTATTTGCTTCTGCTGATATACTAGAGTGATTTGTATGATCTAGTATCTTTGTATCTATTGTCTGAAATGTGTTGATGTTGCGGCATCATTAGAAACATTATTTGAACTTGTGAAAGTTCATAGGCATGTAGTTCATGTTGGTTGAGTGTGTCAACAGAAGCACTAAAGAAAGCTGGATTTTCACTGACTGTTCAAATTCTTAAAACCAAAAATTATCAGTGATTTACTTTGTACTGATACAGTGAAATGTATTTGTCTAAAAAGAATTATGTCACAATTTTTTTTTATTTTTTTTATTCAGAGTTATTTGATTTTGGGCATAGACATTGAGTTGATAATAAAGTAATAGATTGATTGCATACTGGGGATATAAGATGTCTTTTTTTTTTTTTTTTTTTTTTTACAGGAGAAGCAAAATGAAAGCAGACAGGTACTGCAAATGAAGATCCACTTTGTACATTGCTGTCATGATTTGACCTTTTGTTCTAAGATTAAATGTACCTTTTTGTTTCTTTTTATATTTTTAATAAATGTTTCATGGTTAAATCAGTTTTGCTGGTTTGTTTTCTGCAGCCAGTTGGTGACATTTATTCACTTCAGGTAACCCATTGGCCTTTTCATCATTTCACTTTGCTTTGGATCTAGTGTTTGTAAGAATTTTGGCCCTTCTTGTTTTTGGAATGATTCTATCATGTGTTGGTCAATAGATTGCTCTATAATCTAGAACTGAGTAGGTTATTCTTGTAAGATATACAACTACCAGTACTGACCTTTGACTAATCTTTATGAAAGGTCAGAATGTATTATTATTTATACTGTGTCTAATCAGTTTGACAGTATATGTGCAATGTGTTTAGCATGGGTTAATGAAGAAAAATGTCACTTTTAAAAATAAATAAAGATACATAATTTACATGAATCAGAATGTGGGAAAACTGAAAGTGTATTTTACACTTCTCATCATCCCTCACTGCACTGCTAAGTTAAAGGTATGTGGACAATTGAACACTACACTCATATGTGATTGTTCAATATCTCATTTCAAAACCATAGGTATCAATATGCTGCTCTAACGACTCCCGCCTGGGAAGACTTCCCACGAGACCTGACTGTTGGGATTTGCCCCCGTTCAGCGACAGAATTAATGAAATTAATGAATTAAACTTCCCACCATTGCGTGATACGATATTATTAAACAAGATGTAAAGAGACTCAGTGAAGCAAAACAAAAATATTGTTAAAATGGGTACGGCAGATGTCACATGAGGAAATAAATGCAATCAACCATGTGAGTGGTCACGTTATTTGTTTTCATTTCCGTATGGAAACGACCATTTTCGAGGGGTGTTTTGAATGACTTTATTAACTATTTTGACCGCGACTGTCGCTTTAATGACAAACAAAAGAAACTAGATTGTTCATTTGTACATTTCATCGTAAATGCATGTGATTTGTTTCTTTTATATTGGTCAGAAGATGTTCTGTTTCCTTTTGACAACTTCCGGTTTCCCTTCACCTTCGTACAGAAGTTAGCTCCCTGTCACGGGGGTAAACTTCATGTAACAAAACGACGCTGGACAGACAGCAGTTTGGGTGAAACCTTCCAGGAAAATGGGTCACTGTGTTTTTCTCGTTTTAGCGGCTTTATTCTCTGTCACATCGACACAGTTCATACCACCGGTAAGCGACGTTTGTGCTCTGTCATTGTGCTGTTTCACACATTAAGATGAGTGTGTTGTCCAGCTGCTACTACACACTGTTGATGTTTTCACTCTGAAGTCACACATTAACCTTAAACACTGTAATTTCCTGCTTTTATTTTCCATTTATCTACAGTATACAGAAGACTGTCGGACAGAAATGTATCCACCAAACGGTCCTACGTAAGTAACATTAGTCTGTTGCAGAACTCCCTGTTGTGTTCAATTACTAATATGTTTTGTAACCGCCGTGCTTCACTGCTGAGCTCTGCTGCCTTCAATTGCCCCTCGTTCGTCACCGAAATGCTCCAGGTACAGTTTGTACCTGCTGTGTTTGGTAAGCAGAGGAGGAAGCATTGCTCTGACTCAGACCTTTTAAGTAACAGTACCTCAGTGTACTCTGTATTCTAAATGTTACTGGAGTCAAAGTATCAGGTAATTACTAAGCAGGCAGAATCTTAAAGGAAATAAAAGCCACTTGACCCATACTACAAAATGAAAATCAGGATATCTCAGCCTCTGCTGCATGGATTTTATGCTGCATTACTTTCTGGGCTTTTCATATAATCAGAGTGGGTGGGCACATGTGGTTTTTGTTTTCATTTTGTCATCTGAAATGAGCAAGGATATTAAAAACAAAAAACAAAAAAAACAAAACAGAGGTATGCCATACTTCAGGCATGACTTGCACTCTGTGAGAGACACATGTTGTCAATGAAAATATTCTCAGAGTGCCTCTCTGTAATGTGTAAATATCCTGTTTTGCTTTTTTTATATGCATTTATTTTCTTTATAAAAAGATACTTTTTTTTTTTTTTTACACTGGTTTTTCACTGTATTTAACTTATGCTGATATCTCAATCAACACTTAAAAGCACCATACCCTTTGAATGTGGTCGGGCACACCGGTATTGGTACTTGTTTACCTTACAGGTGTTACCTTCTCAATTCTAGATTATAAAGCAGTTTACTGACCAAAACGTCACAGAATCATTCCAAAAACAAAGACAAACATCTAAGTTAGTTAATTATTTACACTGAAATGTATAAATGGTGACATCTTCAGAGTGTATGTTTAGTTTGGCCATTAGTCCAAAACCTTACATTGATATAAACCAGAAAAAAGTTATGAGATCCTCACGTCTGTGACACTGGAGCTAGAAACTTTGTGGGACTTTTGCATAATCAAAGACTTCAAGTATCAAAATTGTTGGCAGTTAATTTAACTAGCAAATTAGTCACCTAATTGTTTCTGCACCAGATCAGTGGTTTACTAATCGGGTAGAATTAGCCTGCTTGGCCTCAGCTGCTGCATTTTTAACTCCAGATGCATGAAATTTCAAGTTTATTCAAAACAGATAAATGAAAATCAAGTCTAATCAGTCATGTTGTGAATAGGACGTTGTTCATCTGCATCAATATGCTGCAGTAGTTGTACAGCTTTTCATTTCTATTCAGGTTCAGAGGAGCTGTCAGTTGGTACACAGTGGACCTGGACTTACCGCCCAGCAAGAGATGGACAGCTCTGATCACTGACAAAAAAACAGATGTAAGTGAAGTAATTCAAAATTAAATAAAACGTTCCAAGTCTCACAAAAATCTCACCTGTTTTTTATTCATGATGTTTTTCGTTCAAGCTGGTCAACATGATTCAGGCCATCAAAGACTTGGCTTATGCTTTTGTGCCCAGTGGAAGGCTGATAGAGCTGGTTGACATTACACTGGTGAGTGTCATTTTTCCTCTGACCTTTTCTTTGAATTTGTATTATATTTTTTTTATCCCCATGAAAGCTTTTATGATTGCACTATGGTTTCTAATTTTCTGCAGCCTTTGATGGTGGACACACTTCCAAATCCTTTCAGTGAGGAAATCAAAGGAATTGCCACTGTTTCAGGGATTCCTCTGGGTAAGAAAACACAAATGTTATCAACTCTTCATTTAGCAACTGTATCTATATATTTATAATTTAATAGTTTTTTTTTCACTTGTGTAATTTAGGTGAAGTTGTCTTGTTCAACATCTTCTATGAGGTGTTCACTGTGTGCACATCCATTGTTGCAGAAGACAATAAAGGTGAGTCATCATCCAGAATCATGTTGATTAATTAACTTAAAATGATGTTACATATGTACTGAAACACTTTTTGGCTTTACACTTTTCCAGGTAACCTCTTTCATGGCAGAAACCTGGATTTTGGATTATTTTTGGGGTAAGAATATCACACATTTTCAAGCTTGGTCATCTTGACTCAGATGTGTGGTAAAAATAACATCTCATGAGATTAAGCTGTCCCTCTTCACAGCTGGGATGTGAAAAACAAGTCATGGATCATTAGTGAGAAGCTCAAACCTCTGGTGGTCAACCTGGACTTCAAGAGAAATAACCAGACTGTCTTCAAGTCTACAAACTTTGCTGGATATGTTGGCATGCTGACTGGCATTAAGCCTGTAAGTCATTTAGTATCATTACAGAAGATTCAATCAGCACAAAACATTAGTCAACATCACATGACAGTTGATGGGTCGTGTATACTTCTTCCAGAGTTCTAAATGTAAGGAATATTAAACTTCTTGTTTTCCTTTTTAGCACATTTTCACTCTGACCATGAATGAGCGCTTCAGCCTCGATGGAGGATACATTGGTGAGTGAAGCTGTTTTTCTCAGCTCTGTTTACAGACATTAGAGAGGAGGTCTACAGTGAGTTTCATGAATAATTCGTGATCTTCTCAATCTGTCCACATGCAGGAATCCTGGAGTGGATCCTGGGGAAGAGAGATGGGATGTGGATGAGCTTTCTCACTCGCTCTGTGCTAGAAAATGCTCACAGGTATTTTTTCGCTTCAATATTTAGATGTGCCACTGGAGTTTTGACCACTAGTGGCACTGTAGAGCAATGTTTCTACGAGCAGGTCCGTGTGTTATCAGCATAACACAAGCACAGTGATGATGTGATGCACATTTTTGTTGAGGACAGTGACACATATTGATGTTTGGTGGCAGTAATGTGATTTAAAATGTTAAGTTCATTTCAAACACAAGGCATTTCAAATGCTTAAAGGGGTAATAAGATGAGACAGAAAATAATCACAATGCAATATGAAAAGACAAATAAATGGGATTAAAAAAAAAAGGGTTAAATAAAGTGGAAGATCAAATGAAAAATAAGGTAAAATATCACATGAGAATAAAACTACAGTGCAGAACAAGATGTGAATAAATAGTCACAAATCTAATAAAAGGCAACAGCAAAGCTTTAAGCTATGATTTAAAAGAAATAAGAGCTGGAGCAGACTTCAGGTTTCCTGGTTGTTGTTCCAGACGAGTGGTGCATAACACCTGAATGCTGTCTCTCAACGTCACATGACAATGTCGCAGTCCAAGAAATGTGTCGTCTTCTCTCATTACCATCAGCTACGAGGAGGCCAAAACCCGCCTGGCTCAGACGAAGTTGCTCGCTCCAGCCTACTTCATCCTGGGGGGAAACCAGACAGGCCAGGGCTGCATCATCACCCGGTCTAGGCTGCTCAGTATCGATATGTTGGAGTAAGTACTGGAGTTTATACTGGACTTTAGAGAATATTCTTGCTTTGTGTTAAATTCGCTGTGCTAAATCACTATCAAGACTGACTTCTGTGTAATCAGTCCAGCTACAGGCCTACAATATAATCTGCTTAACTACAATAAAATGTAACAGTGGAAATAGTGGCTCAAAAGTCAGTGATGCAGCTTGCCTTGTGTTTGTCTTGTGAAACACTGTTTGCTCAACTAGGAACTGATGACCGTTGTGGTTTCAGGTCACCTGATATGACTCTACTTCACAAATCAGTCGTGTGGTGTAGCTGCATGTCACATATTGAAGTTTTTATTTATTTAATTATTGTATTTCAGGATTGACCTGAAGCTGGGCCGGTGGTACGTCCTGGAGACGAACTACGACCACTGGGAGGAGCCTTTGTTCCTGGACGATCGCAGAACTCCTGGCATGAAGTGTATGAACCAGACCACACAGAACGTGAGTCCTGATGACACCCACTTCCTGTACGGAACTCAACAATTTTCTGTCTCTGATTAGAGGCCATAAATATTTGCAGATGTAGTTAAGTTATTCCAGTCATGGGTTTAGGTCTGAAGTACAAGTCTGACAAGTTACATTCCTGTTCTATCAAAGACACCTTTGCTCTGTCTCTTTGTTTAGAACATCTCTCTAAAGACCATGTACGATGTGCTCTCAACCAAACCAGTGTTAAACAAGGTGAGCCTTTTCATGAGTACTTCTATTTTCAAAACTACTTTGATTATTTCAGTGTAAATAACATTTGTCTCTTTTCTTCCTGTGCCTTTTTCAGTTGACCACATACACAACACTGATGCAAGTGTCAGAAGGCAAACTGGAGTCATACATCCGTGACTGTCCTAACCCCTGCATGCCCTGGTGATTCTCTAAGCACTGAACTCTGATCAGTTTTGTAAGTGCTTAGCTGCATACAGAAGCAGTAAGATAACCTCAGCTGATCTTGGGACAAAACATTAAATTGTTCCTGTGTTTGCACAGCCACTAATCCCCTGAACCAAAGTTTGTCTTCCTGATGTCAATTTGACATTTGTCTTCTCTTTTTCACACAGTTCAGGAAAACTTTGAAGCGTTGATGAAAATACTAAATCCTACCTTTTCTGTTATGAGGGAAATTTGTACAAAAGTGAATCTACCTTGTAAATGTTTTTCCCTTTTTATTTTTCCTGTAATTATACATGGATCTCAATATGGGCCTAGGGACCCCTGAGATGAATGCACTGGTGTATAATTAAATTGATGCAAAATCTTACTACATTGTTTCTTAAAGTTCTCAAATGCAGCCAATAGTCACCATGTTAGACTACCATGCTTCAAGTTTATTTTCTACCCAAATCAGGCTTTCAAACAGTTCAGTTACAGGTTCTGTCTCACCATGACCACTGACCATTTAACACATTACTGATAAATGTACCTCAATGCTGACCACTATCGTTTTTTTTTTTTGTTTTTTATTAAAAAGGATTCACAAATACAGCAGTTCTATTTGTAATTTCATCGATGTGAATTACATGAATCAGTTTATAATTTAAATTAATTGGTAGGAGATTTCTCAGTTATTGTGCAGTTGTGTTAATCATGGCTTAATGGAACCTGTCTCGATCCAACAGACTGACAAACCATCCAGGCCTCCTGAGTTGAAATGTGACCACCTGGCCCAAGGTCTTCTGAGTATCAAATAGTTTATGGTTATATGATTAAACATTACTTTATTTATGGATATATGCACCATGTAAGCACATTATTACTTAAAATAATTATGGTTTTCAAACTAGATTTAGACAAACAGTCCCTCTAAAAGACTGGAAAACTTAACATTGTACACACAGTAAACCTGGGGCTTTTGGTGCCCCTAGGGCAGGTGCCTAATTTGCCTTGTTGTTTAATCCAGCCTTACAGTTACCGATAGCAACACTGACATCAATATTTACGTACTACACACTGGAAAGTAGCTACAAGACATCTGAAGAAGCCCACACCTTCATTTTTGAAAGTTCCAGCATTTTATTAATTAAAACTTATTACTGTAGTCAACATTTTAATTACATGAAAATCAATGGAGACTAACCATTAACAGAACAAAACAGCATATAAAGATGCATCTGAAGGGATAAAAGTTAAGTCTGAGCTTTGAGCTCTGATACAAAGGAAAAAGTGTTCAAGATGGAGAAACAATTAGCTGAAGTCAGCCAAGCTACAGCTGAACTTTTATCCTACTGTAATCTCTTTATAATTAGGAATCAAGTGCAGAAAAGATGAGCTGTACAACAGTAAGGCAGAGCCAAGACAAATAAGACGTTTAAAAAAAAAAAAAAAAAAAAAATCACAACTCATGTCAAACTGATCCCAGAACCAAGGAAGAGACTAAGGCAGATCTGAACACGAGTTTCAGTACTAAAGATTCAAACAGAGGCTTAACTGTCAGAAATCAGCAGCATAGAGATAACCCCACCCCAGATTACCAATAAATCACATTAAACTTTCACGAGTAAAATGAATTGCAGTGTTGGTTAAGTGTATAGGTTTAGTTTTATCGTGTGTGTGTGTGTGTGTGTGTGTGTGTGTGTGTGTGTGTGTGTGTGTGTGTGTGTGTGTAGTGTGTGTGTGTGTGTGTGTGTGTGTGTGTGCTAATTTGTGACCAATATTATGAGCTGTTGCTCCGTTTAAACTAGCAGATTAAGAATCAACAATCATACATCCAGAACAGATTGAGGTTGAAAGCATAGTGTTGCTAAAAACAGTAGATTATGAGACATTGGTACAACTCTTTACACATTCTGGGCACCAGCAGTGTCTGAAAAAGACAAAAGAAAACATCATTTATTCCAAAAAGGAAGAGAGTATTAGTTTATGGATGTGCACAACAGCTGCTCTGACTTGTATAGATGTACACATGGTAACAAGAGACAGTGGCTTGGCTTTTGTAGGGTGTTTGGCAACAACACAAACAAACCTGTAATCCTAACTGACACGGACTGTAATCCATACCTGGTTCCTTCAGTGCCTGTGCATTTCCCACCAGCCCAGTCAGCGATTCAGTGTTCCCATTGAGGATCTCTACTGACAGGTTGTTATTCTGCTGCTCCTCCACTATTCTCTTCTGAAGCTCCTCCTAACATTACAACACACATAGTAAATCCATTATATTAAAGAAATGTCTTTCACAGGTATTTTTCCTTTAATTACTTTTTCTTAAGTTTTTACTGGTACACATTAATTTTTCATTGTTTAGTCATTACACACCTCACACATGACTGTAAGCTGCAATGGCAAGTCATCCACCTTGACAAAGTCTTCCTCATCAGACTTCTGACTAGTGTTACCTGACCCCATCTCCTGCATCAATCAGATCAATATAGAACAGCAACAATACAAGGTTAGACATTCATTTCACATTGCAGTAAAACAATTGTGGTGAAATGTAATGATAGGATGAAAACCAATATCTTGACAATGTTCAATTAACCTAGCATCTTCACACTTGGACTTACATCTACATTGATCATAACGGGTGAGTCAGTGTCAGGGCTGCTAGTCGTGGTTGGCTCCTTGGGCACATCCTGATCATGAGAGACTGCAGTGTTTTCTTCTGAAGCAGCAGCTGCCTCAACTTTACTCTCCTCCTCAGGACTCTGGCATGCCGCTATGTTGTGTTCATCTGCCTTGGAATTCATAGTCCCAACTGGCTTGTTGGTTTCTGCAAGACAGAGATTTTAGATAAAAGATAACAGACTAATAATGGGTCTGAAAATACAAGATTTCTATCACATAAGACCCACTCTCAAATTTAACTACTTTTACAACTGAAAATATCAAGAAGGCCTCACCCTCATCATTCTCTGAACTCTGTTCAGTTTTTGTCTCCTGGGTTTCACTGGCTGTTGTCCCCTTGAAGATGAGAAAATTACACAAGTGAGACTAAGACAACAGCTATTTTTGTAAGATAATGATGATGATTAAAATAAATAAAAATAAAACTTTATAAACTTTATTTGCATAGCACTTTTCATACACAGGATGCAGCTCAAAGAGTCTTTCCAAATATAAAAAGAGAAAGGGAATAAAGGCAGGAAAATCAATATTTGTGGGAAAACTCTTTGACTAACTGTGACTCTGACCTCCTGCTCCACCTGTCCATCAGCAGAGGCCTGCAAGGAGGTTTGGACGTCAACAGGTCCAGCTTCGAACTCCTCCATTTCCTCCTCCTCATTCTCATCCTCCCCACTGCCGTAGTTCGTCAGGGCCTGAGTCTCTGCTTTGGACAGACCTGCGCAAAAAATGTGAGTGATGAATGTACAGCATATACAAACACACCCAGGCAAAAAAGGCATTACATGTGGATAAACTCATATTTTCCTTTTAAACTTTCAGCAGGACTGACATTTTTGCTCCTTTCCTGCCACACTGTTCTGTTGTCCTGTGGATTATTTTCACAAGCTTTGTGCATCATTATACATTTTCTATTCAAGTAAAAGTAACTGTTTTCATATAATTTTTCAATGTGACAAAGTACAGTACTTTCAGTGATGAACAGGTTGTCCATTTGAAGATGTAATTGGCCTGTGACCTAAAGAAGCCAGGACCTGATACAACTTAAAGGTATGAGCTGAAACTCAAAGTTTTATTTTAAAGAGAAAAATATGGAATTCAGTGAGACACTGAGGCTCTTTAAAAATAACCTTCACTTACTGATTGACATAGGCATTCCCTGTCCAACCCCTTCATCCTCATCTTCCTCCTCAACCTCTGAAGCTTCACTGCTTCTGTTATTCTTCATCTCTGTCTGCAGGTAAAGATCCTGGAGTGTAGAATCGCCTTCCTGCTCAGCCTCATCTTGGTCCTGGAAGAAAAAAAAGTGAGATTATTGTAACGCAATATAGTAAGTATTGACAATTTCATTATCAGTATTAAAATGACTGACCTTGACTTCATCCGAGTAGGCTGGAGAAACTGATTTATCACCACCAGGTACTGTATTTTCCTAATTGGAAGAATAAATTGAAACCAGGAGTCAAATTAGATTCATTATAAAAAAAGAATTTAAAAATCTGATAATTCAGTGTTAATTCATTAAGCACTATTTTATCATCTTGCCAAAAATACAAATATAATTGGAGCAGAAAAAAACAACAAACCTTGACACTGGGCTTTGCTTTACTGGGTTGCTCAGTCCTCTTCTTATTTTTGTGTTTGGCTGCCAAAGCGATGCTGCTGCTGTTGTCCAAATCCTGCATGAGCCTAAAGAAGGCCAGTTCATTGAAGAGGATTTCTGAGATCTCCACCAGGAGGTCCTCCCCACAGTCCTTCAGAGTGCGGCCAACAAATTTACTAAGAGAGTCCTGGTGCAAGAAACAAAGTGGGAAAAAGACAGAAAGACTGTTCTTTATTTGATCTGCTTAAACACATATGGCCACTGTTTGAGGAATCTGGCGCTGGTCGTACCTGCAGAATGCCTCCCAGCTGTCTGTGGAAAAAGCGGACAAACTCCTTGCTTTCATCATTTTGTTGGGTGAGTGTAAGGACCATGCGCCGCACAGATGTCAACAGCTGGACGGAACACACCTCATCCATGTTCTCCTAATTAAAGAAAACATTAAACTCTTTAATAACTGTTCACATTATGTATTGCATCCAGTATTGATGAGAAATCCATAGAGATTAAATCTTCAACGACAAATTTGAATATGAAATTTAAAAAGGCAGAAAATGATCTAAATTCAATAATTTTCACATTCAATTTAATTTGAGCCTTAACACATTTAGCAATGAATTACTGACGAGCACTTTGACTACAAACTCATATTTTTTCATCTGCAGTTGATTCTCTGCTGGCATGAAGCTACAATCTCCTGCAGCTCCTTGTGATGGTGAGCCTACCTTAAGGAAGGGAATGACTTCTGTCATGATGGCTTTGATCTGACGATCCAGCTGCTGCGTGTCAATCTGAGGACATCGCACATCATCGGCTGCACCTCCTGCTCACACACAAATAACATTTTTTTCTTCAGAAATTCAGCAACACTAAACAGCACAGTGAAACGCAATGGTTCTGTCACTACAGTTCTTTGCACATGTTGCAATCAGGCGAGGTTATGTGACTGGGTACCTTCCACTGGTTCAGCAGGGTTAGCAGAAGGGTGTTCAGCATGTGAGACTTCAGAGCCACCTGCACCTGCAGTGCTGGCGTTGCAGGGGTTAAATTCAGCTTTAAGCTTCATGCGCTCATACTCCCTAATCCTGGCCAGAGCTTTGTCTAAATGAATCACCGTGTTGCCTATCAGAGCAGCAAAGAAAGGAGAGCAGGGAGAAACAGAAATTGGATATGAAAATTTCAAAAATCAATGCAGCAGGAGAAAAGAGAAGACAGTAATGGAGATTAATGCATCTGCAACCAGGTTTACACTAGAGGATCAAACATAGTATGCCAGGCCTCACTGCTCTATGATACTAAAGTTCCCCAAATCTGAGGGTCTGCGTTTCCGCTGGGAAATATAGTCTTCTTCTGATAAGTAATATTCTTTAATTTGGACATGTAGTACTGATGATGTATTGATGATCCTGAGGTGTAAACTGGTTGGTTTACCAAGACAAGCCCTGAGAAGCCCTGCAGGAGAAACTGGGAAGGGGTAACCTCAGTTTGCTATAGTTAAAGGCAATAAGCAAAGCAATTCAGTTGAATACTGGGATATGGAACAAGCTAGGTGTACAGTTTTCCAAGCTTTAAACCCTTGCTTCCCAAAGTCAAATGCTTAAGACATGCAAAAATATACCTAGATCATCATTAGCAAATGGTTCCAGGTTGGATGAGGTTGACATGGTGCTGTCATTGTCCACAGATTCTGCATCATCTCTCTTCTTCATTGTGTCCTGTGTGAGCCTCAAGTTCTTCTCCACCACCTCCTGAAAAAGATGAGCATTCTGTTTTGAGTCTCACACACAGCATCCATCTTAAATCCAACCCTGATTCTCTTAAATGTAAGAGAATGGATGATTCAACACAGATCCACCTTATTAGCAGCCTAACACCCCGCCTGAAGAATTCACAGAGGCAAGAGAGATTTTAGCATATATTATAAACAACAGCAATGGTAGCTTCTCTTTCCATTCTCCTAACATGGCAAATTAGGCATTTCATCCATCATTCTTGAACAAAGGCATTATTTAGACAGACAAAAGACCTGGCTTCCAATTAGCAGAACTCTTGGGACCTTGGCCCAGAACAAAGAGCACATGTCTGATCTGGAAAAAGAGACATGGAGCGATGAGGGTCATTTTTTTTTTTCCCCACAGAGGGCTTCTGAAGCCTTGCTCTCAGGTTAAATTCAAAGACAATGAAGATGGGGTGAGGGAAAATTATAACCACAGAATAAAGAGAGACATGGAAGGATGACAAGAGACAAGGCAGGAAAGGATGAAAGAAGACAAGGCTGAGAAACTAATCCAAAATGTATTAAAATGTAAAAGAGGAAAGCAAAAAAAGAGAAGGGAAAAGAGGTTTGAGAGAGATACTTCAGAACAGGCAAAAGCTTCAACAGAAAATAAGAGAAAGAACACACAGATGGGAAAATACCACACTGGGAAGAAATAATGTGTCTCTTACTGCATCACTGGTAGCCAGACTCTCGCTGGGTGTCAGTTCAGACTGAGAGCCTGCAGCCCACACCACAGGACCAAGACGGGGCAGCTGGTCCTCAGCTGCACTTTTCTCTGCAAGGTGCCTGGTCACTATATCCTGAGAGAAACACAGGGAGAGCCTACTGTACCCATTGACTGAAGTTGTCAAGGAAACACTGCATTCATATCTAAGGCCAGTGTCAGATCATAGATGTGATTCTCATATCAAAACAGAGGCCACCAGCCTTTAATCTACAGTTGTCCTTAACACCAATTGTGTCCATTTCAAAGATCCCCCTCTTCCTCCTGCTAATTGTCTCTCATTGTCTCTTGCAGGTCTGATCTGCACAGAAAGCAGACATTCGGTCCAGAGTCTCTCAAGTGTGACCAAATGTTTAATATGGTCAACGCAGCCCGTAATTATGGAAATAGTACAGGAGATGAAAATCTTATCTGTAACCTGTCACACTTCCAGATATTCTGCGCCAAACAACTCCTTTGACCTGGAACCCCATCAATAACTTGGCTATTTTAGGTGCAGATCAAGGGGTAAATCAGATGGAATATCTTGTTATCTGAGCCCAGCATAAAGTATATATCCATACTAGATTCAAACAACAGTTTTTACACACTAGCAGTAAGTAGTTACATGTGTCTACACTTACCTGGAGAGAATAAAGTGCCCTCTGCCGCAAGTAATCTGTGTTGAGCAGCTGCAGCTCATGGAAGAGCTCGATGAGAAAGTGAGGTCGGGACTCATTCTGAGATATCAAGGTAGCCACCTCAGAGTAAATGGTCTCCCTCAGTGCCTCGAACAGAGAGAAGTCACTGCTTGCATCTACAGGTTCAAGATGAATGAACAGGCATTTGCATAATCTCATCCATGAGCGAGAACAACAGTCTGCCCTCAAACTTAGAAGCTTTGGTTTAGGTTAAGACATAATTAGCCCATGCATGCGATGTTTAGGTGACATAAGAACCAAATGATGCTTGGATTTGCATTGTGAGTTTACCTGGTGCTTCTGTGCATGCAATTCTGTTAGATAGGAAGGGTGTTCTCCAAGCATAGGCTGTGAGTAAGATAAATTAAAGTGACAACAAAGCAATTTAACCCATAATTAAAATTGTGGTCATGACAAATGTGCAAAGAAAAGTAAATTAAAATTATATCAAATGACAAGATGTTTAAATTATAGAAAAAAAAACAAACATTCTGATGTAAATTAAGCCTAATGTGGATATTAAATGTAAACAAAGAAAAATTAAACACACAGACAAAAGTGGAGTGAGGGTGGGTGGAACTTTCACTACAGGTAGTGTTAACCATACCAGAGGAGAGGTCATTTCTTTTATTCCCAAGCTTCATCTTGCTGTCTAGTTTCTCTTGAGTCAGCTTGTCCAGCAGACTCTGGTTCTGATCCTTGTGACGAGATGGGGCTGCCCTCTCCTGGACAAAGTCCGCACTGCTGCTAACGCTGTCACTCTCATGGCCTGCGGAACACACAAAAATTAAAAGAGAACCATAAGTGGGATTTTCCTGGCTTTGCTAATTAGGTTACAGCAAGTATGAGAAGAAATTCAACTCCATTTTCATACCTTCACTGTTCTTGTTGTGCCCTTTGCTCCTCCTGCGACGACTCTTAGAATTGGGAGTCTTGCTTCGGGAGGCCAGGTTGGCTTGTGCAGAGGCCTTACGCCCGGCCTTGAAAGTCTTTGTTATGGTGGTGGGGTCAACGGGATCGGGCATGCTGCTGAAGCTTTCCTGTGACGCCTGGTCAAAATCTTGAGGTCTGGAGTGGCGATTAACAAACGTGGGAGAGGAGGAGGGCGACTCTTGTGGCTGTGTTTTAGACAAGTGATGCTGGACGGTGTTGTTTGCATAGGAGGTGTTAAGCCAGCCGGTTGCTCTGAAAAGGGTTATGTGGAAAATAAATATATAAACAACAATGTTGCACAAATAACCACAAATGCCTTTTCTGGCAAAAGTGATGCACATACCCTCTTTCTGTTGTCGTGTTAAGGGGAGAGCGCTGCAGTGGAGGAGGGAAACTCATGTACTCTGTTTTGATAGAGGTGTTTGGGTCTAATTGCTGCTTCTGGTGGTCAGGAGCAGCATGACCTGCCACACTCTGAGGGAACTCACCCATGGCAGGAGGGAACAGTGGATACAAGTTAAAGCCTGCAGAGTGAATGAAAAAAGACTTAATTAGCTTAAGCTACTGGGTTAACAGCCAAAAAAAAGCAATTAAATCATGACAGTAAGACTTCCGGCCTTTCACTTCGGCACAACTGAGTCACTTTAAAATATATTAATTACTTCAAATTCACCTAATTGAAAATCAGTACTCATATCAGTAATAGCAATGAGACTGTTAAGCCATTGTACAAGAAGTACTGGAAGAAAATAATATTTTCCATATTTCTTTATGTTTAATTTGTTGAACATTCTGATATTTGTGTACTGCAAAGAGGAATTGCTATGATTTTCACAAATGAGATGACCCAAAAACCATCTTTAGCTGCAATGGAAAAGAGATTTGTGTCACAATTAAGCCCAAGAGCTGATAAATATGCATGTCATACTGGGAGGGAATGGGGATATGGCAGCCGTTGACATGTTGTTGGTTGAAGGATGCAGGGTAGAAGAGAAGGGGAGGAAGACACCAGGAGAGGCTGAGGGACCAGAGCTGGATTCCTGGGAGGAGCCCTGCTTCTGTGTCTGCCAACATGCTGTTGAAGAGGATAGCGGTTGCTGCTGCTGCTGCTGCTGTTGTTGTTGTTGTTGTTGCTGCTGCTGCTGTAGGAGGTCGGTCAGGACCTGCTTTAGTCTGGAGGAATGGCATGACAGAATGTAGAAAATGTAAAAAAGATGTACCACTTGCTGCAAATTAAGTAGCGTAATTATGTATGCTGTTGCTTTCACCTTTGCACATTGTTTTGCTGCCAAGCCAGCAGGGTGTAACACTGGTTGAGTTGGTGCATGACCAGGTGGACCTGTGGCGATGACAGGTTGTTGGGCAACACACCGTACTGACCTGTCAGCATGGTTTGCAACATGTATGACAGTGTCTGTGGAAAGAGGTGAGAGACAACAGAAATGATAGTTATTGTTCCTCTTGTTTTAAGGGAGAGAATAAAAGGAAACATATCCAAAATCCACTCTGACTTAAGTCTAGAAATGTAGGCTGGTGTCAGTTACCAATATCATTCAGTGTCTCTGCGTGTGCATTTGTTCAGTGTACCAACCTGCTGGTCCTGCAGGAGTGTCTGACACATGCTGGTGCTGAAGTCCAGCTGTCTCTGCAGCTGGCTGACCTGTTCCTGCCAGTGACCTGAGCCCTCAGCAAAGGAAAGCTCTGAGGCCCAGCGCAGGTTTTCTTGCCGTCGAGAACCTGCGTGCTGGTTAGCAGACTGGTTCAAACTTCTAGACCCCTGCTGTTGCTGCTGCTTCACCTTAGTCTTGTTATGAAGATGGCCAATACCCTCACCTGAGAAGGCTGGTGGAGGCTTCAGGTTACTGGAGACACAGAACAGTGAGCACATGATTTAAAAAGGCACATTAGAAATATCAGTACTGAATAATAACACTATTCCTCCTGTGTCCACTTTGTCTGACCTTCCTTGATTATTCCTATAAGAGCACTGGTTCCTGCTCGAAGAGTAGATGTCATCATCAGTGCTGCTCTCTGCACATTCTTCCTGCTCCTCTTCCTCTTCTGCACCCATCTCCGAGTGATATTCATCCTCATCCTCCTCATCATCATCATCATCGTCATCAAGGTGGCAGGGAGTGGATCCCCAGGTAGCCATTGTCCTAATGACACACCAGAAAAACAGAATCTAGCCATTTGTGGAATAAATTCCTATATCAGTTAAATAAAGTGATGAAGTTTTCTGCTAAAATTTGTTAATAATGAAAAATCCAGCCAACGTCTAACATTCATGAGACAGGCCCCTGGAGCAATATGTCTCCTACCTTTCATCCCTACTGATAGGTTGTGAAGGTGTAGCAAGGCCACCTTGGTCGTCAGTCCGGCGGGGAGAGTCACTGAGACCACTACGCCTCTGGTGTTCAGCCATCAAGGACTCTAAGTGCTTTCTGCGTTGGCGCAGTTCTTCCCGCAGAATCTGGTGGCGACGCATCTCTGTCCAAAGCTGCTGGCAACACAAGGACAGAGGGCGTGAGTTAACAAATCTGTATTATTCTGAACATGCAGTTCACATTGTGACATTTGACTAATGGTGGCGGAGGGTCTTACTTCATTGTCAGTGACTGAAGAAGTAGCTGCTTCTGGAGGAGTGGGTTTGAGTACAACTGAGTTGGTTTTGGGTCCAGATGATGAAGAAGTTTGGATAGTGGCTGGAGTGGAAACTGCAACTGGGACCTTTTTCAGCAAACCCTGCTGACTCACCGTGCTGGACACAGATGACTAGAAAGTAGATAGGCAGAGTATATAAGGGCATATTCTTACAGTGGGGTTAAAAAGTCTGAGACCGTTTTCCAAAGTGGTCTTTAACTTACTGATTCCATTTCATCTGAAATTCTAGTTTAGATTCTTGGCATATTATTGGTGTAAGACATGAAAAAAACTGTGTGTGTAAAATACCTGGAGGTCAGGGCAAGCCCACTGGAGGTCCTGGATCTTGCCTTGGATTTCAATGAGTCTCTGGCGCTCTTCATGGAGCTGCTTCAACTCCTGTTTCTGCTGAAGCAGTTTCTCCTCATACAACTTCTCCCTGTGTCAGGAGTAGTTTCAATGCAATTAACCAAGGTCATAACACAAAGACAAGAAATAAACAGAATAAAATCAAAATAATGTTTTACTGTCAGAGAGGCTTTTGAGATCGTTCATATGCTGTACCTGGCCTTGCTGGAGAGAGTGAGGTCTCTGGGATTCTGTTTAGATCCAGCCCCAGGTGTCCTAACTGCAGTAGCTCTGGTATTATTTGGCTGTTGGTGTAAAGCTTCATCCTCATTGGCTGTTGTACCATCTGTGTCGTCACTCTAGATACAGACAAAAACACACATCTTAAATGCTGTTTAGCAAAGAATTGTCTCAGTAATTCCATACCAGAAAAAGTGTGTTATTCTTTATGTTGCACAAGATGCAACATGTCAATTTTAATGAGTAAATATTGAATGCATTGTATGTTTGATAGCACCAACAGGAGTCGTAAATTTTCAGACCAACACATAGGGGCTTTATCAACCTTTCATCCTGCCAATCAAGAACACCTACAATCACAGTATAGTGTATTAGATATTATTCAGTCTTCTGTCACACCTGAACCATGGCCACCAGTTCCTGCAGCTGCCGCAGTTTCTGCTTGGCTGTCTGTCGATGAACCTTCTGGGAAAAACCTCCATCATTAGCCAGGCTGCTCCTCCGACTAGACCCCGATGCCTCACTGTCTGGAGCCACAGCCTGTGCCCCTGCATCATTATCAAGACAGTCCTCTTCTTCATCCTCATCCTTCACCTGGTTAAAGGGCGTGTCCCTGTTGTATTGGCACTCTAAATAGGAGCAATTTTATAGAAATATTATTTATTCTCCATTATTCATTCTGTTTGTCTGTTAAGTTACATCATTTAAAAATGTGTTGCTTTCCACCTTTAAACTTTGCATTAACATTGACCTCCCAACTGTGTGCTCCTGAAATCACAGCACTCTTGATAGAAACAGACAGTACCAAGCTAATAGTCATTTTTGTCATTTGTCATTTGAATTTTATTTCAGGAGTCAAGATGCATGGACGTGGCTGTTCATGTTAATGACAAATTAAGATTCAATCTTGCTAAGTTTGAAAAGCATTTTCACAAACAATGGTCATAAGCCAATGTATCATTTTAAAGTATGAGACAACATATCTGTGTCAGTCATAGTGTGTGTCAGTGTCTGCAAGAGAGTACCTATGGCTGAGGGGATGTTGAGGCTGCGGAGGTTGGCTGCTGACCGGTTGTTGATCTCACACTCTGTGTTGAGCCTGCCATCCCGGTTGTTAGTGCCGCTACTCCTGACACTGCGCCCGTTGGTCAGGCTGTTCAAGTCTGTCCAATTGCCACTGCGCTGCGGGTTTCTAAACAGATAATGTGTATTGTCATGTATTAATAGTAGTGTTATGGATACACTACTGATTATTGTCAATGTCAACAAAACTTTCCTTTTTCTTCCCTTCCCTTTTACTGAGAGTGTTTCTGTGTAATTTAGCCATATAAGACAAGCTGTTGAATCTGTTTATAATGATTAGCCTTTTGATAGAAGTCCAATCTGAAAAAAAAAGTCATTTTCATTTTCATTTAACTACTATTTAATTTCTTTAGACACCCACCTGATGTTAGTTACAGGCTGGCGGTTCTCCTGCTCAGAGTCAAACATGGCCTCAAACATAGAGCCGTCCTCCGTCTCATCTTCGTCATCCTCCTCTTCCTCATCATCATCATCCTCTTTCACATTCTCATTGACAGCATCCACCATCATATCAGAAGTCTGCTCATAGTACTGAACCAATTCCCGCAGCTCATTCAAACGCTTGTGGACCTCCTTTAGCTTCCTGTAGGGAGCAGAAAAGAACAACAAATATGTGAATTAAATGAATGTATACTTGGGGAAATAATTAAAAGGATTGTGTGACACACCATAACAATGTTTTCACAATTCTCCCCACTACTACAGGTCAAAGTACAAAGTCACCCACAGAAAAGCACCCCTATAAAAGGGGGCAGGTCTACTGTGTGGCTGCAAGGCTATATTAAACTACCCTATATTACACCATCCACAATCTACAACACCCTGCTGCTGATATCTGACCTTCCTATTCAGCTGCTTGTTGTGTGTTTTTGTACGTACCTGAGCTTGTTGGAGCTGTCCTGGTGTTGTGTGAGTGAATGATGGAAGGAAGTGGAAGCTGAGGCCCCATTAGAGCAGAGAGCAGATGGACATTCTGAAGATCCTCCCATACTCAGACTGCACTGTGTTGACAAGCCACGACCTGAAGGGAACAACATGCAGGTAAGTAAAAATGCAACAGAATTATCTAACCATGTTTTGGAAATACTCTTACATGAGTTATTATTGAGAGTCTGGTCTCTGAGTGAGTGCAGCTCCCTTAGGATCTTGTCCATGGTTTGTTTTTTGTCTTGAAGTTCTTGGAGCTTGGTGAGTTTGGCACTGGCAGCTGTTGCTCCAGTGTCTAGCCCAGTGTGTGGGCCAGAGGCAGAGTGGAGGAGCGGCCTGTGTTGAGGTGGGCCAACAGCCTGGGGAGTCCTAGACCAGCACACCTCTCTGGAGAGGGAAAGACTCTCTGCCTGACGACGGTTGTCTGGCACTGCTTTGGTCTACAGGACATGGATAATGTAAGACTTGAACTGTAACCTCTTTATTAAATTAAACAGTTAGGTTAAATACAGATTTTTTAAAAAGTTGACACAGCTTGTCAAAGAAAAGGCAGATGGTGGCTGTTTGTGCCAGCGTTACTTTTACATTATATTATCTCTTTATCAAATTGTACAAAGTCAATATCTTCACAAACTGACACTGAAATGTTATAATGCTGAAATAGTCATTAATAATTATTTTAGAAACTGCAGTACATAAATCAGTAGACCATTCAGTGTATGAAATAATTCTAGATGACATAAAACTATTATATATGGTATCATTTATGGAGAACATGGGAGCCCAGTGAGTGTCTACTATACCTGAGAGTCATGCAGTTGGTTGTGGAACCGCTGGATCAAATCATTTAACTCATCATTCAGTTCCGATGTGATGCTCAGGCCTGAAACACTGCCTGTGGTTTCTGTGACAACTAATGACAACAAAAATGTCAACGGAATTAAACATAGGAAAATATTTACTTATGTTAGTCATTGTAAATATTTACCAGAAAATATTGATACATAAATGAAAAATCCAATATAATCAGTTCTGCTAATTAAATGTTCATTAAAAATATTCCAGCTGAGCTTTCACTGATGCATCTCTGTCTGCAAGAAAAGTAATCTGTGACCACATCTATGACTGTGTGTCTCTCACCAGTATCTTCAATCACAGCAAGTGCCTGTTCTGCGCTGTGCTGCATGGCCATTAGAGCTTCCTGCTGGCCCTGCAGGGCCCTGAGCTGCTCCTGCTGCTCCAGCATCTTCTTCAGCAGCTCATGCTGCTTACGCAGATTCTCCAACTCTTCCTTCTGGTCAGCATGTACAACTTCTGGCCTAGAGCCCTACAAAATTCACACCCACATACCATTACAAAAACAGAGTCTACAAAAACCAACAACAGCAATACTGTATTGCTACTCAGCAGAAATGGTAGAAGCGGATTGTCAAGCTATGACATAGCAAATAAAAATATACAATGAAAAAGGCAAGGGAGGAATTTACTGCCTGGGCTTTATTTCCTCATTTAAGAATTTAAAGACAACAGAGTCACTCGATACCAATAACACTGGCAACACACATCAATAGAAAGCGGTAAACGGTCCACAACAAATGTACACACCATTGCATTTGAGGCATCTGAAGAGCGAACCTCAATGTTGAGAGAAGTACTCTCTGCCAGTGAACCTGAGCCCACTGCAGAGTCCAGGGTCCCCACATCATCCTCTTCATTTTCCCGTGCCTATGGAAATAGTAGAGAGAACAGCCACTGACTCTAAGATAGCCAAATAGTAAAGTATGACAAAAAATGTTTTGACCACGAACTGTCTGCCATTACTACAAGTAACAAGTTAGTAATTGAAAAAGAGTGAAAAAACATAGATGAAAAATGCCTACATTCATCAGTTGCTGAAATTTGTGGGAATAAAGAGACTAAAAACCTCCAGTGAGTTTAAGTCTGATGAATTAAAATGTATGTTTCTTGTCAAAACTACTATATATTTCAGAAAAATTCTTAACTCAATGCACAATGATCAGAAAAAACTATCCCAGAGTTAAGAAAGGTGCCATCCAAGGTCCCAATTTTACCATCACAGGAAACATGACGCCACTGTTGAAGTGTTTCAGGCCACAGAGAAAAAAGGTCATTAAAAATATATGTGTGGCAGGCTGCCAGGATACCAACAAAAAACAGGTTCCACTTCAGCTATGAATAAGCTGAGAAACATCTTCTGCACATGACATAGCACATTTACCCAAAAGTACATAGCTTTGCCTGATAGCATGGGAAAAGCAGAAAAGTAGATCCTATAAAAGATATCAGCCATGAAGCTAGAGAAATAGTGGATACACTTACCAGCATTTTCTGCAGGAACCGTAAATAAGACTTCTCCTGCTCCCTGAGGTGGTCGATGAGATGAGAAAGACGCTCCACATTGGCCGGCACATCATTCTTCTCCACCAGGTCATCCCGCATGGAGCTGGCCTTACTGATGTACTCCCGGATCTGTATCAGTTTGCTCACCACCTGAGACCATACAAAGAGAGGGGGTGGTGTATGGGTGTGGGTTTCAGTAGAGTAAATGAAGAGAAGACAGAGCAAGACGTAAGGAAAGGTGAGCGAGCATCTGTAGCAACAGCTCAGCCTCGGCTGAACGAGGGCAGAAAGGGGGTTGGGCACAAAACTCACTGGGCACCAAGGGTGGCATATTTATAAATTGCCCTAAATACAGCCTAGTTTCAGCTGCACAAGCTCTCCCTCACTTTCATCCTAGTTCTGGTTTGACAATAGTAGTCTGAGTGCAGTGATACATAGACAATGCCATATGTACATGAGAAAAGTGACTCATTTCAATTAAATGTGAAATGAATGTCTTTCTAAGCATTATAGATAAATAAAACCATTACAAGTTATAATCACTAATATTTTACTGGGTCTTTGTGCAAATTAACCATAATGTTAAAAAGAATTCATCAATGTTGCTCATCAAAGAAAATTACTTTCTACACCTCATCCCTCTCAAACAGTCAATCCAGCTCAATGTGTATATTTTCTGAATGCTACACATCTCCAGTTCCCCTGCACTAGCCATCATTTTCAAAGGTTTTCTATAGGCACTAGGTTTAGTTTCTCAGAAACTGGTGTGAGCCCAGAAGAGATAGATTTAGCTATATATAAAGTTATGAGTTTTATGCTAATATCTGCTTAATCATGCTCCAATAGTAGATGGATTTGGAAATTTCCAGCAGTTTGCATTTATTAGGTCATAGACCTATTAAAAGGTGAATAACATTATTTCTTTTAGCGATGTTAGCAACAAGGGTATATGGATGGCAATGTTGGTCTGTGTGATGGTTTTCAGCCCACCGCTTTAGTTCAAACTGAAAAATCTCAACAGCAGCTGGATGGACTGTAATGAAATTTTGTGCCATCAGGTTGACATTTGTAACTCAGATTGAAATTTCTTAACAACTATCTAATGATTTGAATGTATTCAAATCTCCTTGAGGGTAAATTGAAATTACTTTGGCCATCTTCTGAGTTTTCCTCTAACACCATCAGCAGGTCAAAGTTTTTACTTATTCAGTAAAACAACTGCATCTACATGTATATCTGCTCAATGTATTGGCACCAACTTCTATACAGAATTGTAAAAACATTGTTCCACTTAATCCTCAAGACCTCAAGGCATCAAGATTGAACTCAACAACACCAAATATTACCTGGCTGCTGTCTATTCTCGGCTCTCCTCTTCCATATTCTCTGTGCACCGAGGGCCCTCTCTCTGTGCCACTATGGCTGAGCCTTAGAGTATCCTTGGTAGGAACCACAGGGGTTAACGTGTCCCTGAATCCCGGGCTCTGCTTCTTGGTTTCCTTGGTGATAGCTGGAGTGGCTGGGGCAGAGGAGGAGGGAGGGAGCAGTTCCTTGCTTTTGTTAGTGTTTACATGCAGAGGTAGAAAGTTGTAGGGCTTCTTGTTCTCTCCTGCTAACTGGCGCTGGTTGTTGGCAGCTGTGACACGCCCCTGGGAGTCACTGCCGATGCTCCTCTGAGTAAGTAAGTAAAAGAAGATACAAGTTAGACAAATCACCACTCAAGATTGTGACGATTTTCTTCTAAAAACTCAAGATGTGTTCAGATTTTTGTTAGTGTCCTTTTTTCGTAACAGACCTCCGCATTTTGTTGAGTCCAAAATGCCACCCTCTGTGCTGCGACAGAACAAGGTCAGCCAAACAACTCCATACTAAAAAATATTCTGCTATCACTTCCTCAATTGGCTGTTAAGGAGCACAGCAGTGCGTTAGCATTTAAATACTGAAATAGGAGCACAGCTTTTTTTTTCTTTTGACAGTGTGATAAGATTTTTTTATTTCATGTCCTTAAGATTCTTAAGATTCTCAAAAAAAAAAAACTAGTAAAACTTGATACTTGACAGCAATAGGAATCTGTAATGGGCAGAAATGAGCATTACTGTACTCTGTTGCTTGTGGCATGCATGTGCGTCCTTGTACAAATGCTGGTTAAAATCATTTTCACATTAGCTGCAAATGGTGGCTCTATCCACTGCTGTTTATTTGTCAAAACACAACACACAGGTCACGACAAAGTTGACATATTACTATCAGTAAGTCACTCAAGTCACTGTATGTTTAAAAAAAAAAATCGATCTTTGTATTCCTGAGACTCAAATGAACAGAATACTGACCACAATAACCAAAAAAATTCTAATGGTATACGGTAGCTTTTTACCTCATCTAGGTCTGTGAAATTGATCCTCTGACGCAACTTGTCTAGTTCAGCTTGATCTGGGACAGACATCTGGGTGGTATATTTGATGTGAGGAAAGGAATGAGGAGTACGTGCTCTCCTGCGACCCGCCCCAGGGGTGGACTCTGGTGAAATATCATTAGTCAGGCGGCTCTCCACAACCGCAGCTGACAGCTTCTTCTTGTTCTTCTCTGAGGATCTGTTGGCTTTCTTCTGCTGTACACCCCAGTCCTGATCAACAGAAAAAAAATATTTTTACTGTCTATTACTATGTTTAATGTCAACTGTATACACATTATGTATCTGTCCTTACAAGTTAACAGACATATCATGGCACCAGTAATCCATAATAAATCATAAAACAGTGAGATACATTTCATGGAGCAACATGTACTTTACTGTTTGAATTACAAAATTCTGGTAAAATTGACTATAATAAAAGCAGAAAGTTTTGAGGAGTCCCTCAATTGTAATATTATGTGAAAATGTAACTGTCCCTCATATGTCTATAGTTTCTATCAGGTCCTGACCAGCCCTTACCATGTTGTTGAGTCTATCTTCCAGACTGCCATTGGTTACAGTCCAGTTATGCAGCTCTTCTGAACTGTCATCAAAAGGAGTGCCACCAGTTGCCATGTCACCCACTTACAGCTTGCTGGAATTCACAACAAAATGCATAATGGTCACCTCACTGAAACCATAGAACAACAAACAAGTCTACATTTGACATATTCAACAAAAATTACATTTTGCAGTTCAGGAAACTGCTTGTTTACATTTTGCTGGAAGATGATACTGGTCATAAGTTTCATACTGCTCACCATACAGGACCACAGAACAACAAGTCAGTAAAACAAATAGGAGAATGGACACCAGTTAAGAATTTCAGAGTAATATGCAACATTTTCAAGTAACGTTCATAACTGTCACTGTAATGTTAACCTAATTGTTAGTACCTAACAACAGCGAAGTGAGGCTAACTACACGAAATTGGTTATTTGGCTAACAGTAGTAAGCTATTAGTAACGACGCCAGCTTACCATACGCTACAAAACGATATAACGCTAAATACAAACGTTAAGGCTAATGTAATCAACGCAGATATGTTTTATGAACCCAGTGTGGGTTAACTGTTAGAGCTAACAGTTGCATGAAAGCATCAAATGCGTCATTTCTTACCAGCAGCAGTTAAGTTTAGCTAACGTTAACTCTCTAATTATCATCCAGTCCGGAGAGAAATCAGTCATTTACGTCGATCGTGTAACGTTACCAAGTAATTTTTTCGACCTGTCCGTTAACGTTAGCTGCCGTTGGGTTTTGTGTATGTGTGGCCCGCTCAGATTCCCGGGGGAAAACAATGAGACATTCCCTCCACCACGCAGCGGGTTAGCACGAGCTTTCTGTCACTGCTCCCCGAGGGAAGACACTGGTTATCGTTAGCTTAACGGGCATAATGTGCAGCGACAACTGGTAGAAAACGCGTAGATGGCTCAAACAACCGTCTAATACGTTCTTGCTTGGTGAACTTTACTAGCTCATCAACTGTGACCTAGTTCCGTCCCACAATCGCCATGGCAACACGCGATAAACCCGATCTGCATCAGCTAACCCCCTGTATACCATTACCCATTTTCTCTATCGATAGACCGCCACAGCATCAGGCTTTATTTGTGTCGATCGAAAAATAAAGAAATTGCAAAACCCCATGCTACCGAGTCGCCAAAGTTGCCAAGCTTGGCGGGGTAGCTGGCTAGTGCTATCTAGCTTGCTAATTGCTGCTCAACACGGAGCTAACTTTAAATGTCTCGGTAAAAGTTGAAGCAAACAAGCCTCTCAGCTAAACATCAAGTTGAGCATTAGATTAGGTATTTTAGTAAGCTAGGGTATGCATATTATCAGGTCTAACCAACATTAACATTAGTTAGCTATCGTCAAACGCAGCAGGTAGACAAAATACTGGCTTTTAGTCACATTAAACTATGCGCTAGCTCAGTTCGCTTACATTTTAAGACAGAGAACGTTGATGTTACCATTCAGAGTGAAAAGTGGATGAAACACCGTTGCCTAGCACTTCATATAGTGTAATAAAGCTTTCGCAAATGTTCTCCGAGTCTGGTTAAAAGCCATTTGATAAATGATAACGTCTAATCGATCCCACTATGCAGCAACTCAGGTATACGGTCTTGGCCTGATATAAACACTCCCGTACAGCAGGTGGCAGTATACATTAGCTAGTAGCTAATGTTCCACCCACAGGAAGGAATCGGTATTAAGTACGATCGCCGTTCGTTCGTGGAAGCTTCGAACCGCTGTGCGTTAGTGTGGAGTGACTGGTTAAACTTAACTGAAGAAAACTAATAGCTAAGCCTTTTTTCCAAAGTTTCGCTCTTCCTCGATCAATATCGGGGTTCGAATGCAAGTTTTCATTTTTTGCTCCTCACTGAGTGACTTGTGTCGTCGGTTAGCAATTTAGCCTCCAAAGCTAACGAGAGCTAGTTAGCGAAGGTATGCTAACTACATTTTACTCCCATTAATCTCATCAAACAGAGACTGCAAACGCTGTTATATTGGAACGTTGCTGAGTTTTTTTAGACTGTACTGTTGTAACCAGCAGAGGATATAATGGGGTCGTCAAAGAAACACAAGGAAAAGAGTCGCGACAAGGACACAGAAGAGCGCCGTCGTGAACATAAGAAACATCGCCACAAGGATAGAGATGCTTCGGATCGGGATGGGACTCGGGATAAAGAGAAACGAAAGCGCTCAAGGTCCAGAGAAAGAAGTGGAAGGGAGAGCCGCGGCAAAGGTGAAAAGAGCAGCGGCGAGCCACGAGTGAAAAAGGAGAAAATTGATCTTGGATATGAGGAGAGCAATACAGAAGTGGAACCACAGTCTGCAAGCGGAGATGCGTCTCTCAGCATTGAGGAAACAAACAAACTCAGAGCGAAGCTGGGTCTGAAGCCTCTCGAGTTAAATGAGAACAAGAAGGAGCTCGGGACCAAAGAGGAGCCAATGGTGGCTGCGACCATAAATCCTGTTCTCATCCAAAAGCAGAAAGATATGAGAGAGAAGCTTGCAGCCATGAAAGAAAAACGCATCCTGAATCAGAAATTAGGAAAAGTAAAGACCCTAGCTGAGGAAGACTGGTTAGATGATACAGCTGCTTGGGTGGAGAAAAGCAGAAAGATGGCAAAAGAAAAAGAAATGGCAGAGAAAAGAGCCAAACTTCTGGAGGAGATGGATGAGGAATTTGGTGTGAGCAGTCTGGTAGAGGAGGAGTTTGCACAAAGCAGAAGTGATGCCTACTCATCTCAAGATCTAAAGGGACTCAAAGTGCAGCACAAGGTGGACTCCTTCACCGAGGGTCAGACTGTCATCCTGACCCTACAGGATAAAGGTGTACTCGAGGAGGAAGAAGACGTGCTGGTAAATGTGGGGCTGGTGGACAAGGAAAAAGCAGATAAGAATGTGGAGTTGAAAAAGAAAAAGCCAGATTACAAGCCCTATGAAGAGGAGGAGAGTGTGGATGACATGGTTACCTTTAAGCCCCGCTCTGTACTTTCAAAGTACGATGAGGAAATTGAGGGTGAAAAGAAAAAGAGCTTCCGGTTGAGTACAGGGGGCTTTGCTGACGGGGAACGAGAGCGGGAGCTCCAGGCCATGAGAGAGACTCTACGAAATCAGGCCCAGTCCTTGGAAATGCCTGCTCTCACCATCGCCTCAGAGTATTACACACCTCAGGAAATGGTGGGCTTCAAAAAGACAAAACGGCGTGTGAAGAAGATCAGGAAGAAGGAGAAGCAGACAGCTGCTGATGAACTTCTCCTCGATGACACTCGCAGCTCAGATTTTGGCTCCAGGACACGTGGTCGTGGCCGCAAACAGTTGGATGACAATGAGGAAGAAGTTAAGGAGGAGGAGAGCAGTCTGCCACATGATACCCCGCAGATGTCTGATGACATCAGGACGGCTGAAATGGACATAAGTGATGAAGAAGACTTCACACTTCCTGAGTCAGCTGTAATTGAGGAGGATGAGGCAGAGCAGGAGCTGCAGAAACAACTGGAGAAACAGAGGAAGCTGAAACAAAAGCAGCTTCTAAAAGATTCTGGGGAGAAAGTGGCAGAACAGATTAAAGTGCTTGGTAATGGTGAGAATGACAACGATCCTGATAGGAGGAACAACATTGTTTTCAACGCCACCTCAGAGTTTTGCAGAACTCTGGGTGATATTCCAACTTATGGACTGTCAGGCAACAGAGAGGACCAAGAAGACATTATGGACTTTGAACAGGAGGAAGAGAAAGATGATGCTGGAGATTCAGACTCTGAAATGGATGAGAACGTTGGATGGAGCACAGTCAACTTGGATGAAGAGCAAAAACAACCTGACTTTTCCACAGCCTCAGCCACCATTTTAGATGAAGAGCCCATCGTCAACTCCGGCCTTGCTGCTGCCTTGCTGTTGTGCAAAAACAAAGGTCTGTTGGACACTCAAATGCAGAAGGTAGCCCGTGTCAAAGCACCAAAGGGCGCCCTGCCCAACGACAACTACTGCATTGAGGACAAGATGGGCTTTGATGACAAGTACAGCCGCAGAGAAGAATACAGAGGCTTCACTCAAGACTTCAAGGAGAAGGATGGGTACAAGCCTGACGTTAAGATTGAATATGTGGATGAGTCTGGGCGGAAACTCACTCCAAAAGAAGCTTTCAGGCAGCTTTCTCATCGATTCCATGGGAAAGGATCTGGAAAGATGAAGACAGAGAGAAGGATGAAAAAGCTGGAGGAAGAGGCACTGCTGAAGAAGATGAGCAGCAGTGATACTCCTCTGGGGACTGTTGCCTTGCTTCAAGAGAAGCAGAAGTCTCAGAAAACACCATATATTGTGCTTAGTGGGAGTGGGAAAAGTATGAATGCAAACACCATCACTAAATGAGTGAATGGAGAAGAGTGGATTATCTTTAATACAAACGTACACATTCATACACAGGATGTTTTAAGTAAAGTAACTGCTATAATGTCATGCCCCAGTACATACAAGTGTCACTGCTGTAGTAAGAATTGTTGAATAAAATGAATACAAATAAGAGAAATGTTTGTTTTTTTTCCTTTTCTGTGTTTGAAATTTTCAAGGTGAAGAGTAAATTTAAAAGGTAACTATTGTCATAAGAATATTTTGATCTGTTCATGTTATATGAGCAGGGTCAATTTGAATGCATCTGTTAAGTTTCTTGACAACTGTTGTCCATTTGTGGAATGGGCTAAGAAATAGTTGAAGTAAAGAACGGGGGGAGCAAAAAAAAAGTGTAAAATGCATTTGAGTTATGATGAGCAGTAAAAGTAGACAGAATTTAATGATAGTAAATAAAATAATGCAAAAATGTAAACACTGAAAATGTTTTGTTGAATTGCACATGGTGTAATACATTTTTGATAATCTAAAAGATTTAAATTTCCTCTTCCATGGTTTCATCCTAACTTAAAGTTATACATCAATACAATAATTGTAAAATTTGAACAGTAGATGATCGAATACAGCCCTATATTATAGATATTCCACTATATAGATACAGTCCAAAAATAGGGTGCAATTTTTATCCAATAGAGGGCAGCCTTGTAATGGTTTGTCAGAAGGCACACGATACTGGTGGGTAATTATTTGCAGGGCGTCTTTCTTGTCTTTCCTCAAATTCATTTAATATTGAATTTTATTAAAATATACGAATTTTCTTTAAATTAGAATTAGAGTAGATATTGCCCAGGTAACTATTAAAACGTTTTAACTGCATTAGATTGTTGTAATACTACCAAAGACATTCTCACCGTCGTTCATGTTGTCAAATATCTAGTAAGGCTCATAGTGTGATAGTGTATTTATAATGATATTGGTTGATATTGTTATTGAGATATTATTATTCTATTATTTTATTTTTTTTATATTATTGTTTATTAGTTTTATTAGTTTACGTATGCCGCCTGTCAGCGGAACTAAAGTCGACGGTTAAGAGGCTGATCGGCCGCTATTTTGTTGCACAACCTGTAGCAAAGTAGTTAGCAAAGCTAACACTAGCGAGCTATCGTCGCTTCATCCAACCATAGACTGTGCTTCCAACACGAAATGCTCAGTTGATGGCTGAAGACTTGAACAGAAAAGGTGGGTGTTAGGAAAATATGATCACATCTCAATGCATAATGTCAGTTAAAACAAAGTAAAGCTGAGAGTGTTTCACTGTTGAAAATGATCGTTCGCATCGTCTACGACGTGTCAGCTTGTTTGACAGCTTCCTGTTGTTTAGCTAGCAGCAAGCTTAATGACGGACGCTGTTTTAAGTAGCTTTGATGTTTGGAATGACATCTTGTTCCTCGATGTATCTCATTATATCCGGGCTGTGTTTACTTGACTGTGGTGTATAACCGGCAGGTTGAGATGACCGTTATCGGTAGAGAGTTTTCTCAATTTGAGAGTTGTAGTTAAGACGCAGTGAATGTTAGCTAAACAGAGCATTAAGAGTCATGTCACCTCCACCATTTATGTTGTTGTTTGCAGATTCCACGTTAAGATCGAAACCAAGCTGAAAACTATTATAGTGACATTATAGAAACATCTCATTGCTAATTCCAGATTCATATTTGACTGCATGCATAGCTGTATCATTAGTAAACATTTGTCAAGTCTGAGCCATCAAGCATTTAATCATATTGAATGCAAGTGTCTGTAGCAACCATCAGACCAGTTGTTGTTCACTCATCCCATGTATGAAATATACACTGAGTAGCAGTGTGTCCAATATGAAATACAAATGTCAATCTTGACTTGGGTTTTTCTTCTTCCTCAGGCTCTAACCTCACCCAGTGAAACTACAGGCTGTTGTGATGTCAGAGCCTAAGCCCCCTACTCCAACCCCTGGAGACACATACAAGGGTTGGCTTTTCAAATGGACCAACTACATAAAAGGTTACCAAAGACGCTGGTTTGTTCTTAGCAATGGACTATTGTCATATTACAGGTAAGTTTAATTTACTTTATATGAATATTCTGGATTTTCCTGGACTCAGCATGGGGCCATGGTGGTACCTGGTGGTGGGGGGCATTAGCATAAGATTGTCAATGACCATGATTATGTGTATTTAAAGTTTGATGTAGGGCTGGGTGATATACAATGAATATGTCAAAATTTTCTCAAGCAGTAACACAATCTATAATATTGATACCAGAGTTTTTTTAATTTTGCTTTTTCAATGCCATTTAAGCTAACAATACACTGTGTATTTAAGAAGCGCTCCTTTCCCCTAAACTAAGCAGCCTCATGAAAATGAAGTTGTTTGACAATATGTGTTAGTTTACAAACCAGCTATTCTGTTTGTCCTCAGGACCCAGGCAGAGATGGGTCACACATGCCGAGGCACCATCAACTTGGCCACAGCCAATATCGCTGTAGAGGACTCGTGCAATTTTGTCATTTCGAATGGTGGCGCGCAGACCTACCACCTGAAGGCCAGCTCAGAAGTAGAGCGCCAGCGGTGGATCACTGCGCTGGAGCTTGCTAAGGCAAAGGCCGTCCATATGCAGGCCGAATCTGGTGAGAGGGAGGAAATACCCTGTTACAGGTTTTAAAGAAGCAGTTTTGCCAGGCGCAAATATTTGCAAAGCAGTTTTTCATGACATTTCGTTGTTTTAGTCATATTATCTTCCCTGTCCACTCCATTAGATGACTCAGGTGACGATTGCCCCGCAGTGCCCCCCACTGCAGGACAGGGTGGAAGCTGCCGTAACTCAGAAGTCCAGTCCACACTACGAACACTGAGCAGCAAGGTGGAGGACCTCACCACCTGTAATGATCTCATTGTCAAGCATGGGTCTGCCCTCCAGAGGTATCAGTTATCTGAGCAGTTTGACGCCTTTAGAGAAAAACAATATTATTCAAGGAAAAGAAGAGTGAATGTCATTTATTTTGTTTGTCTGTTTATTTGTTCTTTAATTTATTCCTTTATTTTACACACACAGGTCTTTGTCAGAACTGGAGGGGATTCGTGTTGGAGGGGACATGGGAGAAAAGATCAGACAAGTTACAGAGAGGGCCACACTGTTCAGAATCACCTCTAATGCCATGATAAATGTAAGTTACCATAGTGTAAATCACGAAGGAACATGCTATACAGCTGTTGACTCTCTCACTGACATGTTGCTTTTGTGTTTGCATGCTCCCCAAGGCTTGTAGAGACTTCCTCTCCCTGGCCCAGAACCACAGTAAGCGCTGGCAGAAGGCCTTACAGACTGAAAGAGACCAGAGGATACGGCTGGAGGAGACTCTAGAGCAGCTGGCTAAACAGCACAACCACTTGGAAAGAGCTTTCAGAGGAGCTACAGTTCTCCCCCCTTCATTCAGCAATCCCGCCTTAGGCAACAAAGGTAAGGGTCTCAACCCCAACTGAACTTTTGTCGTCAGACCCTTACTCACTCCACCATGCCACATATGTGAGGCCAGTTGAGCCTTTCAGTCATTCATCCTTTCACTGTCTTTCTTCACTTTAGGTGGTGTTTCGGGAAAATGTGACGCCAGTGACGAAGATGATGACAATGAGTTCTTTGATGCTATGGAAGACCCAGCAGAGTTTATTACTGTCCCCGCTGACCCCAAGTATCACAGGTTATTAACTGTCTTTCTTTTTCAAATGTCAGTGATTTTTTTTTTTTTTTTTTTTTTTTTTTTTTTTTTTTTTTTAGAATCTCAACTCTTTTTTTGTTATTTTCTCACATTATGTTCTGTGTTGTATTAAAGTTTCTGCTGTGTTGTTTCTCTGTTCTGCAGGAGATCTGGCAGTAATGTTAGTGGGTTCAGCAGTGAGACTGGAATTGACGATCAGTCGGTAAATGTGTGTTAAGTTTGGGTTTTTTTTGTTGTTGTTTTTTTTTTTTTTTTTACAAGCAAGTTCTGATTTGTATTGTATTGTGAACGATGCCAAAGTTAGCTTATCCTTAAGGGTGTTTTTCGTCTCCTTCCTTCAGTTTGATGAACTGTCCTTGGCATCCAATCCAGAGTCTCCCCAGCCATTGGAGCTTGAGCCAGTTAGACAAAGACGAACTCGTATCCCTGACAAACCCAACTATTACCTCAATCTGTGGAGCATCATGAAGAATTGTATTGGAAAGGAGCTCTCAAAGATACCAATGCCTGTAAGAAACCTGTACACTTGTTGGCCTCTGAGTGTTTTTTTTATTTGAGAATAATCAGAAGTAATCCAGCTTCTTCTCTGTGTGGCTTTGCACCTGCTAGGTGAATTTCAATGAGCCCCTCTCGATGCTGCAACGTCTATCAGAAGACCTGGAGTACTACGAGCTGCTGGATAAGGCTGCTAAATGTCAGAGTTCTCTAGAGCAGATGTGTTACGTTGCTGCTTTCACAGTCTCTTCCTACTCCACTACTGTCCACCGCACAGGAAAACCCTTCAATCCTCTGCTGGGAGAAACTTTTGAGCTTGATCGACTCAGAGAGTGCGGCTACCGCTCCCTGTGTGAACAGGTATATTGTAAAAACACAGCTTTTTGCAGCATATAGTTGTTTCGATGCTTTGCTTAGTTCCATGTACAGGATCGTATTCAGGTTTGACCAGATTCCAGTTCTGAAAAATAAACATGCCTGAAGTGTGTTTATACAAAGTATGTTTATTTTCTTGAATAGGTTCCAACAATCACATAATTACGGTGATTATTTCTTTATTTTGCTACCTGTTCTCTCCCGTCACTCTACTCACTTTCTCTCAGGTGAGTCACCATCCACCTGCTGCAGCTCACCATGCTCTCTCTGAAAAGGGTTGGAGCCTCAGACAGGAAATTACACTGGCCAGCAAGTTTAGAGGAAAATACCTCTCTATCATGCCCCTGGGTGAGTCTGCGTGTGCGTGTGCGTGTGCGTGTGCGTGTGCGTGTGCGTGTGCGTGTGCGTGTGTGGTGTAGTGGTGTGTGTGTTGAACTCTTTGTTGGTCAGTGCACACTGTGTCTAATTTCTATGGAGTCTGTCATGTATAAGCTCATAACTTCTGTATGTGGGAGACAAATTAAGAGTGTAACATCGTTCCCTCTCTGTCACCAGGTTCTATCCAATGTATATTTGATAAGAGCAACAATCACTACTCTTGGAAAAAAGTTACTACAACAGTACACAACATTATTGTGGGGAAATTATGGATCGATCAGGTAATTCTAAAGCTGATGAAGTATTGATTAAACTTATGTTAACATCCTTAAACATATGACATGACCACTAATTATTTAAGGAGAAATAAATGACACGGATGTTCTCAAAGACTGTTTTGCTTATCGTTTTACATGGTTTGTCCTTTTAAGTCTTCAATATCAAAATATTTTCCATTCTCTCCTTCCAGTCAGGGGAGATAGATGTGGTGAACCACAGGACAGGAGATCGCTGCCATCTCAAGTTTGCTCCCTACAGTTACTTCTCTAGAGATGTACCAAGAAAGGTTGGGCTGTTCACATGTGTTTTTTTTTCTTCTTTGTGTTGTTTTATGGTAAAGCACTTACTGTATGTAAAACCAGACTTTATAGGGAGATAGATATGCATACAGATCCAGTTTTAGGTGTACCAGCAAATTATACGTTTTTTTTGGGGGGGGGGGGTGTTCATGAGTGGATTGGGCTCTCCGATACCATACAGCTGTTAATTCTATGAACTCCTGTACAACCTTCTGTCAGGTTTATTTGATTATATTCTTCACTGAAAGCTGTGTTTTTCCCACAGGTAACAGGAGTAGTAACAGATAAGGATGGAAAGGCCCATTACGTGCTGTCAGGAACATGGGATGAGAAGATGGAGTTTTCCCGGGTCATGCAGAGCAGTAAAGGCGAGAATGGCACTGAAGGCAAACAGAGGACTGTCTATCAGACCCTCAAAGCCAAAGAAATCTGGAGAAAAAACCCTTTACCGTAAGTTGTCAGTTCATAGAAGATCGGTGAGGGGATGGGCTGATGAGAGCGATGCCAGGTGAGGTGGTTGATCAATCACCTCACCTGGTTACTGCTCTCATCTACTGCAGCTGCGTGCGACCATGCCCATCCCTGCAATTGGTAAGAGTTGAGAAAACTGAACATGCTTTTAGACAAATGGAGCTGGGGAGGTAGGGCTGTAAAGCTGTGTGCCTCTGATCTTTTTATGGTAATGACTTTCCAGAGAGGGAGCAGAGAACATGTACTTCTTCTCCTCACTGGCCTTGACTCTCAATGAAGCTGAAGAGGGAGTGGCACCGACAGACAGCCGAAGACGCCCCGACCAGCGGCTAATGGAGGATGGCCGTTGGGACGAGGCTAACGCGGAGAAACAGAGGCTGGAAGAAAAACAGCGCACGGCCCGTCGAGAAAGGGAGAGGGAAGCTGTTAAAGCAGTCAGCTCACCTGAGGAAGGTAGGGAAAGAAATAAGGTGGCTTGGTTTTTGGAGTTTCTCTATTTGTCCTCTGTTTCTGTCCAATGTTTTCCTGTCCATTCATCTTTTGTCCACTTTGTCTGTCTTGGTATACTTTGCCTGCTTGTCTCTGTCTCAACCCTAAGCTGTCACTGAGGATTCAATCAATGACTCACCCTTGAAAAGCAAGTACTCTTCTCTTAGTCTTTTCCCCCACCTTAGATCTACACTTTATATTGATGCTAGAATCCAAAACACACATACATGTTTCTGTGTGTAGTAAGAAGGTGCTAAATGTCTTCTACATCATCTTGATAACAGCTCATTCACATTTTACTGTCCCTTCATCCATTTCTGTTCCATTTAGCTGATGCACAGGAGACTGGCACAGAAGCAAGTGAGGTTTCTGATGAAAGCAAGTATCACTTCACAGTTAAACAACGTGTACTTTTTAAAGGTGCTTTGAGTGGCAGTTTAACAAAAGCAGTGAGTAAGAAATGACCTTAGCATATCCACAGGAGGCTGGTGGGCTTGTTTCTCTATTCTAATGACTTTACAGTTACTGAAACTAGTGCTAGATATTTGTGGAGAAACAACCTGCTTTTTGCCACATGCTGTTTGGCAAAAGACTAATTTCCTCACTAAGCATTTTCAACTGTCGGAGCTATATATGATAAGTTGACAGAGGTCATAGGTGATGTAATGCCCATTTTACAACACCAAATTTGTGTACTGTGTGTACTTTGAAACATTAGTATAATACCCTGAAACAAATGAGACCAGCACTGAGTACGTTTTGCGCTTACATAAGCTTCTGTATTGCATTTTCCTAGTCAAATAAATAAATAGGGAACTGCCTATTACTTATATGGCAAAATACATTGTTTGCCAAATGGGAGGAGGCCTAGTCAGTGTAAACAGAAGTTGAAAAAAAGATTCTCTTTAGTAGCGCAAAGCAAAGGCATTCATGGGGAAATGAGAGAAACATTATTACTAATGTCACACTTGCATGTGTTGAAGGTCAGAAATTGTCTCAACTATGGTCTGTTTTGTTAATGATGAGTGAACTGAACCGCCCCAGTTATTTTGACAAGTCTATAGTGCTTAAGGTGCCACAAACAGCACTTTTAAAATGTACACAAACAAGAAATTGGTTTGGATTTTGGTCGCTGAGTTGTGGATTTACATTTATTTTTTTTTGTGCTGCTGTTGCTCAGCTGACACAGAGGACTCTACCCCTCATACACCTGTTGCATGCAAGTAGCACCTTTACATTTTCACTCACTGTTCTTCTTTGTATCAGTCATTTTCAGATGATACCCATTCTTTTATTTCTTAACTCCCAGACATTCATCCTTGGTTCTTCTTTTTCAGCCCCTTATGGACCATCACTCTTCCCTTATTTAAGCAAGTATTCTGGTCATGATATAATATATACAGTGCAATTATTTCAAATTTTCTAGTAATTTAATAGAATTCAGATTTAAAAAAAAAAAAAAAAAAAAAAAAAAACTTGTTCATCCATCATTTCCTCTTTACATCCTTTGCAACTTGCTCTGTCTTAGTGGAAGGCAAGGAAGGTCCTTATGGAGCTCCAGTCAAAAGCAAGTAACATCAGTCATGCCCTCTATCCCTCCATGTCTCCTTTTTTATTATCGTTTTGTCAATTAGTGTATTATTGGTCCTTTGGTGCTTATTGGAGAATAGCTTAGCTAATCGTAGAATTTGCAGGATAAACCTAGCAGTGAAATACTCTAGTATTTACTGTAGTATATTTTGGTGAGTAGTATTTTGTGAGTCATTGATCAGTATACTTTGGTCCTGGGCATTGGTGCATTAGCTGTGAGCCTTGTTCTCTCCACATGATAGAGAAAGTAATTGGTGTTTTCATCAAGTGAAAATCAATATTTCTCCTCCCGCGTTTGGTTTGTATAAGGTGCATCTGAAGACCAAGCAATCTGTACAATGTAATACATTTTTCTCTATTTCTTAGTCAACCGTCTGAGAGCATATCAGCTTAATTTTAGCATGATATATTGTCACGGCTCACCTAACCCTCACCATAGGTCTCTCTAAAGCTTCTTCTCAGTGAAGGATTTTCTTTCTTTTCCTCCAGGCACCCATCCAGACAACTACCAAGCACTGTGGTTTGAGAAGATAGATGACCCTGCATCTGGAGAGACCTTGCATGTCTACAAGGGGGGTTACTGGGAGGCGAAGGATCAAGGCAGCTGGGACATGTGCCCCGACATCTTCTGATCACAGCTGAATCAGCTTGTTTCCCTCCATGGTGTACAAATGAGAAGATGGTAAGAGGTGAACTACCTTCCATCAGCTGAAGTGGGGAAATCAAGCCTGATATCAACCTATCTTCAATATCCGTAGCTTCAACTGATCACATAACCCCACCCCCCACCCCCCTTCAGCTCCCCTATTCCAGCAGAGATTTGCTCAGGATCGAGGGCATGTGGATTCCACGCTCAATGTAGATACAGTGACATTATGCATTGTAGTAACATTGCATCTGGTTAGTGTTCAGAAACCCCTATCACTGCCTCTCAAACACTTCCAGAGAACACTTGGTCTGCTGCTTGTTTTCAGTCCGGGGGCCTGTGGTACAGCCTTTGAGTTGCATTTAGCAACAGGTGATTCTGGTCGTTTTGTGGAAGCACTAATTCATCCACATGACGTCTTACTATATATAAGGTTTGCTTAGACAGAGCAAGCCACTACCTGACAAGAAATTTATGTGTTAGTTGTGCATTGCTTATTATTTTGCACTGCATTTATTGCAGCTTTCCCAACAGCACCACAAATTGAATCTTACCCAAAGTTTTCAATAGTTCACACAGTAAATATTTACTACACCAGTTTGAGACCACCTCAAATGCATAGATGGAAACAAAAGTGAGCTATGTAAAACAATTATATTTATTATTTCAACAATTACTCTAAATAATTACAGATACAGAGTTAGCCTTTGAATTTATGGTGAATTGTGGTGCTACTTTATTCACTGAGAGTGAAACATAAGTCTAGAGGTATACTATATCAACATATTAGCCTTTTTTTCATTTTTGCACTCAACTAGACTCAAAATGTGTGTAGGTTCTTTTCCCCCTGATAACTCATACATGGCAGTGATGAAGAGAGGTGAAAGCAGCTCCTTATGATTATGCCACTCCTCTTATTGTGATTTGGCCTGATAAAGTCTGGTTTGGTTATCTTAAGAATCCCTAATTGTGAGTCTTAAATGTCTGCATACTTCATCCCATATAGGAGTCTTTTTTTTACTTTTTTTCACTCTTGAAGAACAACATTACCATTTTCTGTTCTTTTTTCTTTTTTCTTTTTGAGGAAGAATAATGGCTTTTCTGTATGTAGCACATTGGTTTTATTATTTCACGTTAGCATATTGAATTCCACATAAACTGAAGTAGTGGTACCAAACAAATCTGTATTGGTCCCATGAAAATATGAAATATGACAAATATGAAAACCCTGTCATTTTGTGTTTCTTTTAACAAATCAGTTGTTGACCATCTCATTGAAAGCAAGAGCGTGGTCATATTGTCTGAAAAAGTGTATTAGATTGACTCGTATCTATATGTTTAAGATAAAGTCTGTTAGGACATGTGCACTACATGAATTTCAGTCTTGTATTTTCATACCTAAAGTTTGTGCTCTTGCTATTACTGGGATCAACCATTTCAATTCTGCTCCCAAAGTAGATGAAGATGTTGAGGCTCACAATTATAACAGTTGTGATTTAAATACAGAGCAGCAGGGCCGTGCTCCAAGCTGGATTGCTACTGGCTTGGTGATTAGTGAAGTGTTTTTGTCTTCCTGATTTCCTTCAAACTTATTCACCATAGCTTTAATCTTGAACTAGGATATTTTAGTCTTTGTGTGTTTTGACTGTAGATTTTTAACAGACAGCAATAAGAGTGCCTCAGTGCATATACACGTGGCACTGAATGAAATATGAGGACAGTGTGAAGCAAGAATGCTAAAACTGCAAAAAACTCAATTCTGTCTTTGTATTCGTCTGTATTGTTTGTCGCTTGAGTGGAAGGACTGTATGGTTGATCTAATCTAAATTTCATTTTATATTCAAGTGTACTTAAAGGAGGACACTTAAAATGAAGATCACAAAACATAATGTTGCAAATATTTCTGTGTAAATATATTAAATAGTAATTGTGATATTAACTGGTTATGTTGATAGAGAATCAAAAGGCAGTGATGCACTTTTAATATTTTTTCTTTGTCATTTTTATTTACTCAGATCTGGATACATTTTCACTGTCTGAGCTCAGAGTACCAAGTTACCATATGTCACCGTTTTCCACCTAAGATAGCTTTATATTTTAAATTATATTAATTTGTTTTTGACCTAAACTATTTCTTCCTACTTTCAACTTTTGCTTTATACATCATTTAAATAGATATCTTGATACTACAGTACATCTCTTTAATTACAGAATCAGTCTAAAAATTTCTTTCTGTTCTGTCTTTTTTAATACAATATAATATTGATTTTTAACCATTGGTCCTTATTATGTAGCCTGATCGTTACATCCATTTTTAACTTTTTTTCTTAAGTTTCTACCTTTTATCATTCTATTCCATTGTTTCTTGCTCCGATTTTGTTTTCCCTGCACAAAAAGACTGAAGGTGTTATTGCACTTTAGTACAGTACATCAGTGATTTCATTTTCTCTACTTGATTTGACTGATAAAGACTCAACTTTAATGTCTGCTACTGAAGACTTTGTCACTTTGTGAGTTTGTTTTGAAAACATTTCCGAAACCATGTTCAGTAATTGCAAACAAATGTACATAAGTGAAAATATACATTTGTATTGACTTGCAGTCTGAGCACACGTTTCACCTTTTCTGTCCATTAATTCAGATTTTTAGCAGGATTGTGTTAGAGGTTGACAATATTAAAGTGTATGGAGATGAAGTGCATATCTTTGGTTGCATTAATTTTTCAACAATGTATCACAAAACAGTTAATGCTAGTTAAGATTTATAAAGCAAACTTTTACTTTTTATTTAAACCTGCTCTAATAAGTGTATGGGTAGGTTTTACCACATTGAATACAACTTACCTTACTATCAAACTGACACATAGTCTTTGATAATACTGACACAAAAACAATGTTAAATAAAAAGAATATACTGTATGTCTGATCTCGAATTAGAAATGTGGATTTTCACCTGTGTAGTTATGGCATAGTGCTCAGCATTTCTTCTCCTGCATCAATTCAAAATTTCCTTGGGGTAATCAGTGTCTCAAACAATAATTTTGCCTGCTCACTTGACAATGTTCAATCACAAATATGAGCCATGTTTTTCAGGGGCTCCATAGAATTTAATTTTTTATTATTTTTTTTAATTTAAGCAAAACTAGGCATATTACAAAGTAAAGAGCTAAAATACCAAATTATTATTATATCCAAAGTTTATTTAGGAGAGAAAAAAGTGTTTTAAATATTAGATAAAAGGGGTAAAACAGATTATGTGGCTCAAAATCTCTTGACAGAATATGCAGTAACAGCAGGGGCTGCTGACCGTTTTTTCTGGTAATTTTAGGATTTTAGGGAAACTGTAAGAATGATACTGAAACCCAGTGGGTATTTTACAGGTGAATCCCACTACTAACAGTTTGTCGTTATTTGAATGTTTCTATGTTAAGGGTCGGTGCATGAATAACTCTTCTGCAGTATTTCACGTTGTATAATGAAAAATGCCAGTTTAGGGGGTATTTCCTAATTTCATTGTCCCACTTGTGCTAAATGCAATGGATGTAGACGTTTGTGAGCTCGTTCTTCATTAGCCGATGCTGCCTAAACGCAGTTGTGTTATAGTCCCACTGGTTGCAGACGACTTCCGCCCTGGATCAGCATTTAAGTCTCCCTTGCGCCCCCCCGACCACGATCTGGGGGCAGAAAACAGGCACGGTTAATACCTTTAATGTGGTGGGGTGATTAGAGAAACATTTGTTTTCAGTTAATTTAATACATAGAATATAGAATCAGACCTCAGTATTTGTAAAAACCTATTAATAGGCCTTATCAGAGGAGTTTGTGCTGTGCAGTAACCTCTCCCACGGTAGGCGTGGGTCTTTAAAACGAGCGCATCTCCGCGTGACATCAGCATCTTTGTTTACTGGCTTTACACAGCTAGCTGTGCTCCCCTGCCTGAACACGTCTGCACAAGTGGTATCTAAAGGCGGTTGTCTATCACACTTACTTTACCGTCTGGTTAGCTGACTCAAAAAAACATGTCGGTTAATGGAGAAGACTCCACAGACGCGAAGCGAGAGGATGGGCAAAGGTGAGTGAATGTTAATTCAGCTAGTTAGCTTTTTGCTCTTTAACTATTGTCCACGATCAGTGATGAGGAACCGCCCTGTCGCCGGCATATTATTTCACCCGCTATTTAATAATTACTAGCTGTTATCTGAAATACTTCAAACTGATTTAGATATTTTTCTGTATCGCATTATTTACTGCTTGTTGATATCTCACATTGGAGTTATAGACCGTGTGCCGGTTTGTTGTCCTGCAGGTCAGAGGGGCCTGCACTTGCGCCCATGGACGTGGATGCCAAACCCCAGTCCCACAGCTTCAGATACAGCCTCAATTTCCCCAGCATCGGCCAGTGCATCATCATCAACAATAAGAACTTCGACAAAAGAACAGGTGTCTATTTTGTTTCTTTGTGCTTATTTGGGCAGGACTACTGTCAAAATTAAACTGCTTTGAAGACCACATAGGCGAACCATTGACAACGTGTCACCAATCATTTTAAATTCAAGCCCCCCTCACAAAGTTTCATTTCAGTGAAACGCTTGTTGACATTTCAAGGTCACATTTAACCTATTTTTACTTACTGCTGAAATTTGTTATTACTGATAAAAAAATGATTAGTTCAGAGAAAACAACAAGCATCTGATGGTAACATCTACTTAAAGGAGAATATTTACTTGCTTTTCTTCATTATGTGTCATTGTAATTTAAATAGTAAATACCCTTGGGCTTTTTAACGTAATCAAAAAATTAGCAATTGTGAGAGACAGAGACAGTGTTAGGCTCTCATTATAGGTAATTTTTATATTTTATACTCGAAATTTGTAGAGACTACAGGGTAATGAAAATAATTACTTGGATTTCTACTTGGATTTTTTTCACTTTCTCTTGATTTTGATAGAATTAGAAAGGCAGTTAGTCACCAGTTAGCCTTATGGTTAATGGGCAACTTTGATTAACTGTTACAAGTTAGCTGTTACTAAAGCAATGCTTTGCTTCTTTTGCTTCTTGCACTCGCCATCTCAGTGTACAACAGAGCAGATGTATCATCAAATCAAACATCCACACCTTCATGAGGTGAAAGGTGTGCAAGGGGACCCAATTTACACTTGTTGTGGATACCATTTAACTGCATCGCATGCCAGTGAATTAGATATGAACGATAGCTCAGTGGCATTCCCTAAGTTGGCTGTAGAGAATGAGAACAAGCAGGCGGTTGTTACCAAATTCTTGTGTATGCATCCTTGCGTTTGATAACAATACAATTAAATAACTGCTACTGCATCGTACTGTTGGTGATCAGGAAGTGCAGGAACCCGCAGGGCTTGCAGTCATCACATGGATGTCCACGTTTTGACTAGTTCCTCTTCAAAATTTTCTGTGGTCTATGGAGAAATATATGTACAAGAAAGTTCATTCTGTACGTGTATTTAACAGCCCAATCACATGGATATTCTGGTGGTCTTGACCCTATACATATATGTGTGTGTGTGTCTCTCTCTCTCTCTCTCTCTCTATAGGGGAGTATTTGTCCAGAGCTTGATTTTCTGAGTAAATGAAAACCTTGACATCTGTGATAGTTGGAGATACTTAATGAAACCTTGAGTTGACCCTAGTCCTTGTCTACCCTTTATTTGAAACAGGGACATTGTGCAATCTAAACTTGAGGAGATGTGACAGCTTTAGTCTGCCCTTAGTGTATAGAGCATCAGAGTCTGTGATGGTCTTGTATTTCTGAGAGACTTGTGTTTCACAAACCTGTCTAGCAGGACTAACTGAGTACACATGACTGCTTGATGTTCGAAGCGCAAGTACTGTACAACATATGAGTGGGGTAAAAAGAGGCAATTAAGCCTGTCAAGTTTAATTTAATTCTTTCCAACCAAGAAAACATTCTTGTAATAGCAGATTCGTGCATACTTAGAATTCCCCTACCCCCGTTTTCAAGAAAATTAGAGATGGACTGAGTCTTGGAAGGAGCAAACTTCTGGGTAAAATAGCTCTGTGTTGAAAGGTTTGACAATGTACATATAGCATAGCTAAAAGTCACTGACAGTGAGCCAGCAATCAGCCATCAATAATTTTATTATTTACACCTGTGTAGGTGTTTTCACTTATACGGGATATGTGTGAGGTCCCGAGACGTTATGTACTAACAAGAATGGAGCGCAGTCAATGATAACGGTGTAGTCTGTCCCACTCTTACAGGTGCAACAAAGCGAAGCAGAATAAGGCCGATGTCAGTCAAGCACAGTCCATACACTCCCACCCTGTCACATAAAGAGGTCTAGTTAGCCAAAATGATGTCAACTGCCTGTTTAGGCTTGTACTATGGGCGTGCACGACCTTTTAAAATCTACAGTAGATAAGAGGAAGCAAGAGATTTTGCTTCCTTCATATTTTTGTAAATGTGTTTTCATCCTGTTTGTCAAGTAAACGGAACGATCTAATTGTTTTGGGGGTTTTTTTGTTTTGTTTTTATGTTGTTGTTTTTTTTTTTCAGGCATGAATCAGCGAAATGGTACGGACGTAGATGCAGCCAACGCAATGAAAGTGTTTACCAAGTTGGGTTATAAAGCGAAGGTTTACAATGATCAGACAGTCGAGCAGATGAAACAGGTTTTAACTGCTGGTAAGTATAATGCCAAATGAATACAAATTACAGATACACATTAATACCGTGACTTTTCCATCTACCGTCTTTTATATCAGCTTGTATCAAAAAACATATTGAATGCTATACTTTTGTTTCTTTCAGTGTCAAAGGAAGATCACAGCTGCTCGGCCTCATTCATCTGTGTTCTGCTGAGTCATGGAGATGAGGGCGTGTTCTTTGGTACCGATGGGTCAATACAGCTTAAGGACCTCACATCACTTTTTCGAGGCAATCGCTGCAAGTCATTGGTGGGAAAGCCCAAACTCTTCTTCATCCAGGTATTTTAAGAGTTTGTTTCCCCTTTGCACTAACTTTCCTTGGTCTTTGTTAATGTATGTTATTTGTAACCAATTCTTGTTCTGTTTGTGTGCACATTGCGTAGGCTTGCAGAGGCACTGATCTGGATGCAGGCATTGAAACAGACAGTGGCGATAATGGCACCACCAAGATCCCCGTGGAAGCTGACTTCCTTTATGCCTTCTCCACAGCCCCAGGTTAGCACTCTTAACACAGGTCTTTTTGCGTATGTATTGTTTCCTTCTTGCATTGATATACCTTTTTATTCATTCATCTATCTACAGGCTACTACTCATGGAGGAATACTATGACCGGGTCCTGGTTCATCCAGTCACTCTGCGATATGATCAGCAAATACGGAGAAAAATTGGAGCTTCAGCATATCATGACACGAGTGAACCACAAGGTGGCAGTAGAGTTTGAGTCTATCTCCAACTCACCAGATTTTCATGCAAAGAAACAAATCCCATGCATTATGTCTATGCTGACCAAAGAGATGTATTTTTCTCCTTGATGTTGTCTGCACATCAGAAGACTTCAGCCTGGCAGACCTTCATCTGCAGAAGAAAGGCTTAAGGATGTGTATGGGAGCGTCTTGTTTGCAAATTATTTTAGTTTACACATTCTGAATGAATATCTCTTGAAACCTCCGCTTAGCGTATTTCTGGGAGAGCAGATGCAAAAACATTTCACAAGCTTGGGATTATAAGGTTCTTTCTGTGTGGGGTACTGTTCTGAGATATACAGCATTAAAAATTTTATCCCAGCAGCATGTCTTTTTTTAGACATTTAATCTAGAAAAGTTATTTTATATCATCAACATAAAATAATAGCATTTAAATTCTGTCAATCATGAAAATCTGCAGATAAAAAAATGTAACTGACCTTGTAATTCCAAACTCAGTTTTTTACCAGTAGATGCCTCTCTACCGTTTACAATATATTTCAGGGAAAACAATACTTGGAGCCAGTTTGATAGGAAGTTTGACCTGATCTGTTTAATCATGAAACCATAGATGGGCTTACTGCCCTCCAGCACCAACATGTCTATAAGCAGTTTAACTTGAATCTAAGAGAGATCTATTTGGTTTGTCATTAAGGGATCATGTGTGTTACTCTACTTTTTAATTTCCTTTTTTTTTTTTTTTTTTGCACTTTTGAGTGAACTTGTACCCAGTGAGCTGTGTGGAGCCTAAACGAATGCATCACTTGCACTCAGTCGGTAAATTAAATGATAATGTTGTGTAGCATATTCAGGATGATCCAGTAAGCTATCACGTGTTTTGTTATATTGAAGGCTGAAGGCTAAGAGTTAAATTCTTGCTGATTTTAAATTTCTGCTGTCTAAACATGGATTTCTTTGAATGAACTGTTGCCTGTGAATATCCTTAAATAAGTGGCGACACAGGCTTCTTCATAGCATGCATGAGTAAGGCCAGCCAGCCTGCACGATGCTGTTATTTCAGGCACATTTTGATGAGTTATTCATACTTGAACTCAGCTTTATATTTCATATTTAGCTGTGGTACATGTATTTTTTATGGTTTTTAAAATATGTAACAGCAAATGGGATGCCTTTTTACTTTGCTTTAGTTACAGCCTCTCACTTTTTAAAAATAATTTCCAGTTTCCGACTAGTGTGAAACTGAGTGACTTTTACATGTAACCATCAGCCAGGAGTGATTTATAAAAAAGCACAATTTGACACTGGTCTGGTTTTTTATAATATCACTGTTTTGTAAGCAGCTGCACTGTGGTTGGTGTGATGTTTTTTCCTGAAGAATAAAAACCAGTTTTTCACCGAGCTTTGTTACTGATTTTGATTTTGGCTCTTGTGCTGTAACAGTAGTAAAGATTACCAACAGATGCCAACAGATATATTACTAGTGTTAAAGTGCTAACATTTACATAAAGTCTTGCTAGTTTTGTTCACACTGTATCTTGTGAAAGACTTATCCTCTACAAATGCTGCAAAGGGTCTATTTGTGTACACTGTCTTGAGTGTAAACAGGCAGGATTACTCCAGATTTGGCATGCCTGGAGGTGAGAAGAACTGGGCCACCAGATCCTGAGGCCCAGGGCCAAATAAAACTGGGCCTCAGATTCCTTCACTGACAGCACTGAAGCACTTTACCTAAACCTGCTTCCACAAACAAGCCATTTACTACATGTTGGATGTAGGATGAGGTGGGCAACATCTTACAAACACCCTCTAATACAAGAAGTTCAGTACAGCTGCACCACCAGCACCCTCATGACAGTCTCTAGTATATCTGTATATCTGGATCCCCGCCTGGACGACCAGATGCACAGAATTCTTTAGTCACTCATGCCATCAAACTGTTAAATGCTCAAGATGAGGCAGCTGATGATCAGCCTTCCATATAATACTGGAGGGTGATGATGGTGCCCCTGTTTTTATTTCTGTTATGCAACGTGTAAAGCACTTTGAACTGCCACTGTGCAAGAAATGTGCTATATATAAAAAGAATTTGCCTGTCCTTATTTGAACCGTTGATGATTGGATGAGATGATGATGACTGGATGTGCACCAGAGGTTTTATCTTGTGCACTGATGTACATTATTTTATATGCACTTGTGTGGGAGATTCTAGCATGAGTATATATATATGTATATATTATATTTTATATATTTACACAAAATATAACTTCTAATTGTATATTATACTATATATATATATATACAATATTAATACGTTTGTTGTATTTTATCATGTTTTATATTCATCTCTATATGAGAGAATATCTATTGATATTGCATTGCACCATACAGGTGTTTCTATTATTTTTTGTCGTATTAGTGTTGAGCCAACTGTTTGCCAAACTTATTTAACTTCTTATGTCTCTCTTGAGTTACTGGTAAGACATTGTTGAACAGAATTTCTGACAACAAAAGGCTGACTTTGGCGGATTTCCTAAGTCGAAAGTAGGAGTTTACGAGTCACACCTGAACGCAGCACAAGTCCTCGCCTCTTTCTTCGCTGGGAATAGGCCTAATACTCTTTGACAGTTGGAGATAGTTGGCTGCCGTGGACGGCGTGTCAGGTTGCTGATTTCCCTGGGTTTACAGGTCGCACCTGTGTTCAACACTTCTAACGTCGTGCTGCAGACTCTGGACCGACGCAGAGTGTTTCTTTCATCTTGAAGTCTTTTTCTTAAACATGTTTAAACTAGCCTGAGGTTATTAGCGAGTCTTAGATAGACCTGAAAAAAACAAACATCTGCGTGGTATAAACAATGTCGTACACTTAAAAAGCAGCGGTTTTCCTTTCACCTACGTGTGGATAAACTTTGGCTGAAGTAGGCATGGAGAAGTTCCTTCATATAGCTCCTCACTCTCTGGCTCTGGTGCTGTCGCAGGTTTGCAGAGAAGATGAGGAGCATTCACCATCATCACCGGCCGTGCTCTCAGTGAAGTTACAGCATCACAGCGGCTACGAGGTCTTCGCCAATTTCAAAGCCGTAAACATGCAGCATTTCTGGAACAAGGCGCTGACACACGCGCTCTCCGAAGTCTTCTTCCTGGGCTGGATAGATGAGCATGTGCTGCTGATCCAGGGCAAAGAAGTTCACCTCCAAGTCCTCAGGAACGGATGGACCAGGCGGACACTAAAACCACCACAGGGCTTTGACATCAAGTGCATAGGTGAGTATGTTTGTCCCTCTTGTCATTTAAGTACAAATTGAAAACAGTGACGCTACATTTACAGCAACACTATTAACCTAAACTGGAAACATTACAGAGCCATAAACAGAAAAGTGCGTGATTCCACTTAATCTTTATTCCACGTGGCTGTGTGTAGAGATCAGGTGGTTGGGTTGAGGCAGGACACTGAGCCTTTAAGAATTATTCGTATGTTTGGAGGCAAAGCTTTTTTGATCTTTTTTCTGTTCAGTTTGGAAATTTGACTTGCAGGATAACAAAAAATACACATCACAACAGACTGACCCATCAGTAAAGCAGACTTTATATATAAGTATAAAATTGAATGAAAATGGGTAAATCTTGGCTTCTATTCACTCAGTCTGTCAAAAGGACTTGATCAGGTCACCTAAACATGATATATGCAGGGAGTAGACTACATAATTAAAGTCAAATTTGAACCCACCATCATATGCATTTTGTTTTCCAGCATTCTCCATGTATAATGTCTAAAGCTGTAGGCTTGACTTTTGGTCTTGGATTTGCTGACAGACTTGTCTGAGATTTGTCTGAGACTTGCAACTGACTTGAAATAAAAATTGAAAGTCTTAATCCCAACACTGTAAAGTCCAATAAAGGAACAATGAAAAATAAATAAAACGGCATGAGGGAGGCTTTACATAGCTGCCTGTCTATTTATAATGGCCCTGCATGGAAAATGCTTGGTTAAGGACTTGTTTTCTGGTACATAAAAAAACCTTAGCAACGCAGCTTTGTAAAGAAAGTGTTAGAGAGCTGTGGTTTTGTAATGGTTAGCACTCAAAGACCTGAGATACTTGCAAGTGTTTTGCAGTTTGCTTATGAAGACTAGAGACTTGTCTTGGACATGAGCCAAGGGATTTAAAAACAGTCTCTGTCACTAAGCAATGCACAGATCCAACCTTGCCTCTACCAATACCTTAACTCAGAATATCAATACTAGTTAATCTAATAATAGTTTAAATCTGTTTACCTCACTACACAGAGCTCACTGGAATAGTTTTCATATACATCCAGATTTATTTTCTGTTTGTGACTCTTAAGAGTTCAGCTGGTTGTTTCATGCAGATTTCCACACCTCTTTAATTGCTGGTAAATGCTGAGGATTAGCATTGAACCTCATATGACCCTCCTCTCTGTAATTGTGAGCTAAACATTTTCCCCTGAGGTTTTCATATGATACCATGAGTATGTGAGTTCTGCTGGCAGGTTGCATGAAGCCAGTTGTATCTAGTCTAGAGTAAAGAAGGAGTTTAGGCAGCATCTCGCTTCATAACCGCAGCTACTTCATGTCATGTGAGCTTATGCATTCAGATAGAAGAGCCAGGACTGAAGCCCGGCTCTACTGCAGTTCAACATTCCTACACTCATACTCATCAAGATCGTAATTCATTGTATGCGCTGGTACAGGTTAGGACGACTTGAAATTGTCAGCAAGTCTAACCATTGCACCCATCATACTACCCTCACAACTTTCTCTGCGACTATGTGTGCGTGCAAACGAGATAGAGGCGTGCAGCATGTAACAGATCATCTTATTTCTGTTTGTTTCACAGCAGAGCTTTGGTTTGGATCATCTGTTCCATCAGCGAGCTGCATCAAACTGCAGCAGAGAAAACACAAAAGGTTAGGGAGTAGAATGGAGGGATGATGAAGACATGTAGAAGTCTTACATTTTCAGTACTTGTTTGTTCGCTTAATCAGTCATTGTGTAAAGCTGACTGACACACTGCATCTAAATGAAAGCATGGCCAATATCGCTAAAGTTTACTTAATGCATTAGTCCTGGAATCAAAGGGATAAAAATAAACTTACCAGGGTTTTCCGAAGTGTTTTTATAGGGAAGGAAAAAACTAATACGCTGTTCATGAAAAGCAACACGAGCTTTCCAGAGAGAAGAGCAGCAGTGTTACGTCATGCAGTAAATGCAGTATATTTAAAGCTGCGCTCATCTGTGTTTTTAAATTAACAACAGGTCAGATGACTTTGTGTAATGTGAAAGGTGTTGCTTGTAGTGACAAAGAGCACAGAGATTCTGCAGCTTCCCTCAACTCTAAAGAGCGTTTTAGCGTCTTTCAGCTAATTTTGAGATTAGCCACTTTATATTTGTGTCAACTCAACCTGTGCAGCTTCTGCAAATGTACAACATCATTTTCACTGAACTGTAAATTTGAAGGTGTATTGAAACTCTTCCGTGGCTCTGTGTATGTTATCAGTATTCTACATTACAGCTGCTAGTCGCTGATTGTATTGAGCTGAAAAGTTCAATACCTGCTGTACCTTAAGGTCTATTATAGTCCAAAGTATATCTTAAGATAGTTGATTATTTGAAGCTGATTTCTTTCTGTGTCTGCCCATTAGAAGAGGTGACGTAGCTTCACTGACACTACAGAAGCAAACACTGATAAGCACTGGAATGTTTGTCTTATAGCTAATAACTCACCAGACTCTATAATGCTCTATAATGCCTAAACCAACAGAGCTTATATGCTGCTGGTGCAGATGGAAATGACAGACTGATGAATTTTTTGTATCAGATAAGTTTTTCACAACTAGGCTCGTAATCTAGGATAGATATTAACCTGGAAAATGTTTGTTGTGTTGAAACGCATGTAACAGTCAGTTTTTCATACTCACCTGTGTGCTGGACACATTTATTGGACAGCATAATCTGTCTTAAGTTTAATAGTAAGCTCATGTGAATTCAACTAGTAGTTACATTTTAAACCATTTTGCCTCTTTGAGATCACGTGAAACAACTCCCACATGCAAAACATTCCTGTAACTCAGATCACTTTGGTGGATCAAAAAGTCCTCATATTTTTCAATTCCTGTTGCAGTTTTTCTTTTTATGGAAAATGTCCTACAGTAACAATAACATTATACAGATGAAAACCAGTGCAGTATTGATTTTCTAGTGTGAGCTGCAAGTTGTTGTGTGACTCATTTTCTAAGCTGTGGAGTCAAGATGTTAGTTTGTGAGACAAGTTCAAACAAAGTTCAGACAAATACTATTTATTAACTATGTTTGTGCTCAGTATTTGGAATATTGTGCACTTGCAAAATAACAGGAGATTATTGTATTTTATAAACAA